CAGCAACATGACAGAAAGCCACTGTCGATCTTTCAAAACCATAACTGGATCACGGACATGGGCAGTGGTCAGTGGTGGGGCTGAACAGACCTTTGCCTCCCTTGATGTCTCTTCCCTGATAAAGAAACATAAACACTGTGAGTAGATTTGCAAAACATGCTTCTCTGTTTCCCGTAGGCTGACCACTCAACTGAAGGAGGGTGTGCCCACAGCAACTTTAAGCATTAAACTTATGAACTGAGACTTTTAATGAAAACTTAATTTTGGTTTGATTACCTTGTTACTTTTTAAATAAAAATGTGATTTTTTTTGTGACACCTAAAATGAAAAATAAAAACATTGATGACTGTAGCAATGAGCGAACCACCCTCCACCCTGCAGGGATCAGGGTTCCTGAGAAGAGGCTTAATCCTGGGCCTGAGACAGGTAAAGGGTAAGAAAATCCATGAACATTCTGTTTTACAAAGAAAATTTCAAAAACCATAACAAAAATATGACAAGGTCAAAAGGACAAAGGCCAACCAGAAGGGTACCCCACTGGTCCAAATGGATAATTTTAGCATCAAAATGAGATGTGCAAAGGCCTGAAGCACATCAATCATGTAGAAGTTCATGAAAACATCCTAAAATAAAAAACAGCTAGACTTCTAGCCATTTATTCTAAAAATTGATACAGGATCGAAGCATTTGTTTCTTGTCTATAATCCTTATTCAGAGTACACAAATGCTTGATGGGAGCTATTTCTTCTTTATAAATAAACACAAGATAGTTAAATGTAGAAGGAATCAGAACTAGTGAAATGATGGATTCAGCCACGCAGATGCCAAACTCATTAGGGGAAAGGTTGATGTGTAACCCATGGTGTCAGATGAGGCCCATGATATAGGAACTCGCTCATCAGTCTGTATCACCAAGAGGGGACAACCAGACGTCAGATTCCATCACAGAGTAAATTCACAGCATGCCTATGATGCCTTGTGGCTCAAGAAATTCAAAGTGAATTCAAGCAAGCTTCTGGATATAGCTTTCAACTCAACAGGAAACAAGGCAGGTAGAGGAACAAGAGAACAGTCAAACAACAAGGTGGGCCATCCTACAAGGCAGCTCCTCTAATTCTTCCCACAAGTTAATGACATGAGAACCAGGCTAGGGTGGGGCAGTTATCAATATCAGAGCCTTGTGTGGTGTAACAGACCATAGCCAAAGGTAACGTGCACTCTTTGGATTCTGACTCGACAAATAAATGAATTATTTTTGAGCCACTGTAGGAAGTAACCATAATGTAATATATTAAGCCACTGTAGGAAGCCTAAAATACAGTCCAGATATTAAATGGCAGGGAGCAATTATTAATTTTATCAGTTGCAATAATGGATGTATGAAATAAAAGAAAAACATTTATTGGTTTTAAGTGCATATTGAAGTATTTAGATAAAATATGATAGTTTGAATTTCTCTAGACACATTCCAGTAAAAAAAAAAAAGTGGGGGGAGACGGGGGAGAGAAAGGGAAAGAACAGATGAAACATGACTGGAAAATTATGGTAATTTTCATGCCAAATAGAGGGACTCGTGTGGATCCATTATACAATTCTTTCAACTCTTCTGTGATCAAATTTTTCCATAATAAAAGTTAAAAACAGTAGGGTTATTAGGAGATATTGTTTCATGCAAACATCAGATCCCAAAATATCAGTTCAACCCACAAATAGTGTGAATTATATGCCAGAGACCGTGGGAGTCATCCGGGAGAGAAATGTTTTTTTTTCTGAGATGGGATAAAAAGTACATAAAAGCACAATTTCTTTTGATGGAGCTCAACAGCCAGAGAGCATCAAAATAAAGTTAGGTTTTCTCACTGGAGCAGCATGGGAAGCTGCATACCAGAGGAACCAAGAGACACCCATAGCCAAACAAAAGGACAGAGGCTTCTTATAGGATTGGGGGAAGGGTACCATGCAGTGAAGCTGGACTGGAGAGACTCAAGCACAGGGGATTTATTTGCATGTCCTTTAACACCAAGCCTGGCCAGAACATCAGATTCAGGATCCTCAAAGCTACAAAGAGAAATGTTCTGTCCTAAATTTCCAAATCAGCAATCTGGTCAGATATGGAGAAAACTTCTGTATGTCAAAATGTCCCAGGTGGCTCAGATCCTGCAGACAGTAGCAGGACCCCACATTTTCTTGATCTGATTTCAAACAGCACAGGTTTTGCTAACCACAAAAACTTGTCACAGGCCGCAGGGGACCCCCTGGATGTACTGAGCAGCAAGTCCTGTTCCTGCCTGCAGCCCAGTCCTGATGTGCATGCCTGTCCCCCGGCTGTGTAACTGAGAAGGCTACACATAAACCCATTCATCAATAGCACCCAATATCCGCTAAGCACTGGCCACTGCCCAGGCACTTGGCCAAACAGCTTTCAAGGTATCTCAAGCTATCCCCCTACAGAGGTATCCAGACTCCTAACAGATTTGGATGCATTTCCAGTTTGGGGAATAGCACCTTCAGAGGCTGATTTGCCTAGTTCACTGCCAAGAAGCCAAGCTGGATTTGCACATCATCCAGCACGTGTAGCTTTTTCAGAGGGAATTCACTCAAATGTAATGAATTCTGCTCCCTGGTAGTTTCTCTTCTATCTGAAAAATATTTACCAAGTATCCACATGCCCCCAAATGATCCAAGATTTGGGAGGATACTTGTCTTCAAGGTTCTCCCTGACCCCACAATAGGCATCTCTTCATACCAGGGCAGTGTTTGTACTCTCCTGTCTAGGCCTGGTTCATGCCAAGAGGAAGGTAAGGAAAATGGCCTGTTTTGTTCATGCAGAACTGCCACCATGCAACCCCCCCCCCACACACACACCCAATTTCTCTCTTACACACACACACACACACACACACACACACACACACACATACACATACACACAAACAGGACCCACACTCTCCTCCAGGAATAAGTATTTAAAATGCTGCAGCCCAACTGATGTTATAAACTTTTCTGCCCCCTAGCGTCAGGAGGAGGGGATATCAGTATTGCTTTGCTGCTTCAAGGGTTATGCTTGCAAAAGTTTTTTTTTTTTTTTTAACCTATTTTTATTTGCTTTACTTTTGAAAGCTAACAGAGCAAGATCATGCCTTATTCAAAACTGTCAAATACACAGTACAGAAAGCTATCAGTATGAGTATGCATGTTCACTCCACTTTTGCTTGCACAGATAAACATTAAAATTCAGAGTCATAAAAATTCAGTTTATAAGGATTTGGCTTTCTGACAGAGCTTGCCAAGTTCACTGCTACCTGTGACACCACCAACCCTGTGTCTACAGCCTAAATCACTTCCATAAACACATGCAAATTTTCAGGAAGTTTTTTGTTTTCTTTTTGAACAGCCAGAATTAGGCCTATCCCCTTTCTTGGGATGTCCCCTTTGGCTTTGTGTGGATCATTACAGACGTGGACATTGTGCCCACAGACCCTCCTTTCTTTCTTTTAAAATCCAGCTACAAATAGCTCCAAGTGGCCTCGTTCCCAGTCCAGTCTCATGCGAGCTCCTGGGGTGCCGGTGGGCTCAGCACGCTCATCACCTGCCCTACCTGTTTACATCACCCAACCCCCAGCCCTGTAGCAGGAGCTGCTTCCTGTCCTGGAGCTCCAAAGTCAAGTGTCAGAGTTATGAGTAAATGGGATGGGCAGGGGAGACCACAAGAGACAAAGTCCAGATCAGGTGGTGACTAAAACTGCAGTGGGAAGAGCATCTGATTCAGATGAAGGCGACCAGGAGAAGAGGTCACCAAGGATCAGGACTGAGATGACAGCAGGTGCGAATGCTCCAGGCAGCTTTCTTTCTTCACAGTATTTCTAACAGATTAGCACTACATGTTTGTGGGTCAGTCTCTTTCCCTCTTTCAACTGTGAGCTGTTAACCTCCACCACGGTTCAGGGATGAGCTGACCAGGGTGACCCTGGCTGGCTGGTAGGGAAGCAGAGCACACAGGAGACAAAACTGGCACCAGTCTGGATATCAGCAGGAAGGAATTGTGAAAGGGGTTCCAAGATCTGATCCGATCCTGAGCAGACCTTGGGCCCCATGTCAAGAACACTGGTTTCAGGAAGTCTAACTGCTGTGAAAAAGTTCAAGTCAGCTAACTGCTCTGGTCTTGTCAGACTCTGAGAGACTGTCAAGGTCATCTGGAAAGACAACTCCTCAGAATCTGAGGCCCCTCTCTGCAACCATGGCATACTTGTACCAGGGACCTGAGAGCTCACCTGGTCTCCATTTGCTATTCTGCAGAAAGAGAACCCAAGCTGGAGTGAAGGGCACAGAGGGCAGGGTGGAAATTGAGACACTGCTAGGTAGTGCTGTGCAGGCTCACTCTGCAGGCATCTCRTAAGCATGCTTTACGTGTTCACTAGTTTAATCCTTGGTTCAGTTGTGTCCCCTGGTATGTGTGAATGTGACCTTACTTGACGTTGGGTTGTAAAGACTTAATAAAGTCAAGATGAACTCATTAGGGTGTCTTAATCCAACAYGGCTGGATCCTTCTAAGAGGAAAACATGCATGTGGCCATACAGGGGGAATGATGTGCAACAGACATGTGGACAAGGGCCACGTGTGAGCAGCATCGTAACACACAGACACAATGGAAGACAGCCATGTGAAGACAGAGCAGGTCAGCTCTGCTGCCATCAACCAGGGCACACCTGGAGCCACCAGAAGCCAGATGAAGCCAGAAAGGGTGTTCCCCAAAGGGCCCACGGGGAGGAGGAAGGCCTTCCTGGGGAGCACCCTTTCTGGCTTTGTCCATTTCCCATTTTCCCTTCTCCTTACCATGTATCAATTCATTGACAAAAACATAAAAGTAGGAGATATAATTCCTTCTTTACATTTGTTAGAAAATGAAGGACTCTAAAGACGATGTTTTCATTTAACAGAACTATTACAAATAGGAGATTCAAAATAACAAGTATTCGTTATATTCCTTTATTGTACTTGATCAATTCTGTTTGAGGTATAAAAATTCCTATGACACTAGTAATAAATTAATCTTAAGTTTACCACCCATAAAATTATACATGGTATCAGGAAAACCTCTGAGCCTTCTCGGAGCACCAGTCTATAAACATAATTCTGCAAAATGGTTAATTCACAAATTATCCTCTTAAACTATGTCTCTTAAAAATAAGTCCTTTCACTATCTGAGTCTTAAAGCCATTGTTCTTCCTTGTTACCAATGAACAGTGGAGTTTTGAGGAAAGAGCTTGCTTTGTAGATACTCCACCAATTCTTGTCTGGACTTGAGCACCTCAATCTCATGATAGGGGACCTGTGAAGAAGGAAGGACAATGAGATGGTCAGGATACTCCCCAGTCCCACACCTGGCTTCTCACACCCTACCCCACATAGGAGTAGGCTAGGAGGGCAAAGGCCACAGTGGCCTCTTCCTCCTGTGTGCCCATGCCTGGGGCAGTGCTGGCCCTGGGGAGGGGCCTGGGAAGGGTACACTGGATACACAAGTGGGTTGTCCATATAAGAAAAATCTCTCCAATTAGAGCCCACGATGCCTACCAAAAGCAAGCAGGAGACCGGGATCAAGGGCTGCTTAGGTGGGCCTGGCTGGGGGCAGATGAGTGCCAGGTCCCCAATGCCAGAGCTGGAGATAAGCCAGACAGTGACTGAGCAAGGGCCAAGGGAGAAAGGGGAGGGGAGGAGATAGGTGGGGAGGGCCTGGGGAGGGGGGAGAGAGGTGGGGAGGGGAGAGAGGTGGAGAGGGCCTGGGGAGTGGGGGGAGAGGTAGAGGGGGTCTGGGGAGGGGAGAGAGAGGTGGAGAGGGCCTGGGGAGTGGGGGGAGAGGTGGAGAGGGCCTGGGGAGGGGGGGGAGAGATAGGGAGGGGAGAGGGGTGGGGAGGGGAGACAGTAGTAGAGAGGGCTGGGGAGGAGAGAGGTGGAGAGAGCTGGAAACTGTGGCTGGTTGTGGGCAGACTGTGGAGGGTTTTGAGTGCAAAGTTAGAGAGGAAGTTTACTTTATCCTATGAGCAATGTAGAAACAATGAAGGTTTTGTTCACACACTGCATAATAAATTTTAACAAATCATCTGTGGATATGTAAGATGCAGTGGAAAACTCACCAAATAGGAAACTAGAGATCAGGGACACTCACCCTCATTCCCCAAGGACCCCTCCCAAGAGGCCCTCTTACGTAATCTACAATGAAAAAACGCAAAGGTCTTAACCAGTAGGGTGGATGAGGAGCCCGGTCTTAATGGGTCACCTTGTCTGGTTTTTATTCATTAAATCAGAGAGAAATGAAAATAAGACATTCCAATGACTTAGTGGTTTTAAAAGCAGAGTTAAGCATAGCTTAAAAGGAAAACAGGAGCCCTAATTTTGAAAAATCAGTGCTCTGAAACTCCTTGCAAAATAAAAGACAAAGAAATTTAAGACTAATCAACAAAATCATAAAATTTAAACTAGACATTAATATTCTTGGTTCACTGCTCTTTCAGACCACTTAGTACTGGTACAATTAACTAAAAGGGAGAGTGGGTCTGAAAAACCCTTGAGCAGAAAATGCCAGGAAGGCCTTGAAAATGAACCCAAACCTGGCTTAATTTACAGATAGATGTAAGCAGCACTTAACTTGGCCATTCTTGGTTAATGCATATAACAGAGAAAAGAGAACTACAGCTCAAACCTTTCAGCATCCCAGGAAATCATATGACTAGGGATTTTCCAACAAGACAGATCAAGCAGGGCAACTGCAGACCTGGAACTAAGACTATTTTTTCCTCTGGCTTTCCTATGAAGCCCTGTTCATGGTCCCTTGAGAAAACTCCAAATCATTCTGGTTTGGTGCTGTCTGATTAAAGAATTGCTGTTTACTCGAGTAATTGTACTGTGAAGGAACAATTTGAAATTTTGCCTGGAAAAAAAGCAAATCTGAATTTGGAATTACTTGTGGAGAAAAATAACAGGTACACCATACCTGAACAACTTGGTAACCCAGTAATCGTAGATGTCTTTGTTTGATAGCTTCTCTTCCTAGTAAGTGTTTGCTATTAGAGCAAAATCTTTTTGGACCATCAATGCACAGTGCTACTCTGAGAAATCAAAGAGGAGAAAAACTAAATTTGCAAAACAATTACAACTATTTATATATTTGTAGTTATCAGAATTTAGTTGGGATTTGACTAGTCTTATATGATGATACTGTTTTAAAATAAATCATGAATGTCTTTTAATCTGTTGGAAAAGTAATCGATTTACAAAATATTACAAGGACTTTTCAAACATGATGTGCTGGAAAGTAGTATCTTAATTTCCAGAATTATGTCTATTTTTTTTCACCTTTTAAGAAAAATATCAGTTTACTAATGTTGACAAGTCATCTAACATTAAAACCACAACGATTTTCTTTACCTTTTATGGATGTCTTCATCAACTGTGAACGGCAATACAAATCCTTCTTCATCTAACTTAATTTCAACATCTGGTGAGAGAAGAAGGAGAAACTTCTTCTGTGATACCCTTACACGTACCCTTGCTCCTACACCCTCTGCTCTGCTGAATCTCCCCACACTGCACTTATCAGTGGGCTGAAGGCTGAAAGTAATGACCACAACCAACAATGGTGAGAATTTTAATTTCATCCGCTTGGTGATCAACCAAGTCAGCCTTAAATTAAGGAGGCTCAACCACACTGAAGCAAAGAGTGGGTTCTCAGGTGACCCGTGCATGACAAGAACCAGGCACACATTCCTTTTCCTCGTATGACAAGTGGCAGGATCCTTCACTCCAGAAAAGAAAGCCCTGCAAGCTAAGGGGCCACCCTGTGCTCCTCAGAACTTTCTGCTGCATTCTGCACTGCCTCCGTGGTGGAAGCCTCCTATGTTCCTATGTTCGGCGTGTGGTCCTTGAGCATGGACAGATTCCCTGTCTTCCCCTCTGGAATGCTGCTGTGGCTTTTGTAAAAAGGGCCCAGAAGAAGCTGTGGAATGCAGTGTGATCACTGGAAGCCTGTGAACCATTCTCCTTCATGATGTGATTTTCTCTGTCAATTTAGAACCGTCAGGGCACAAGGACCTGCATTCTCTACTAAGCAATACCCAAGAGAATCTCTGCAGCAAGAAATATTTATATCAGCACTGTCCAATCTGGCAGGCATAAGCCACATGTGGCCACTGATTACTTCAAATGTGGCTAGTGTGACTGAGAAATTGAGTTTTTAGCTTTTTTAAATATTAAACCACCATACACTAACGTCTATTATATTGAATAGCACGAGCCTAGATTATAATAGCAGCTAACAATTACTGAGCATTTACTCTGCTCCCAATATTATAATTTAATTTAGTCTTCAAACAAATCTTTGAGGTCACTATTCTTTCTCTCACTTTAGAGATGAAGCAGTAAGCAGAAAAAGGTTAAAATACTCTGCCGAAAACATTCTGCTACTATGTGGTAATATGGGAGACTCAAACCMATATGGTCTTGACTCTTTAGCCCTACTGTGAACCCCTGCTTTCAGGGAAGGGACATTTGCATTTTGCATTTCCAAAGACCTTCTATGACTACTAAGTCCCATAGATATCTAAAGAGAATAAATGCTTCTAACAGAACTCCCTGTACTACTTACCTATCGTATAACAATAGGGTGTTAATACTTTTGAAGCAAAATATGATCTTGCTCCTAAAAGGTCAATCAGTCCAATCATCACAGATTTATAAAGATGAAAATCCATAGGGGTCTCCAGGGAACAGCATGGAGTAAGAAATGATTTCACTTGGTATTGACGAAATAGTTTGGGACCCTAAAAATCATACATGCAAATATAAGAAAGAAAAACAAGGTATAAAGCATATAATAAACTGAAGCCTCCCTGGATATAATCATTTCATACAAAATTACTTCACTGGGGCATGACATTTTTTCCAGGACTTAGGGCATATATCTTTCTTGAAATGATAATGCATAATTCTTATTGCAGTTTAAATACGTTTTAATAAATAGCCTCAATGGTCACATAAACCAAGAGATGGTAGGGAGGGAGGAGGGAAAGAGCAGAAACAACAGTGCCCACCTTTGGAACTCCTAGAATTGCTTCACGGGCCTTCAGCACTCACTTCATGTTTTAACAGTGGAAAATGACATAAAGGTGATATTTTTAACTTAGTAAGGAAAGAACAGAGATGTAATAAATGCTGGTGGTTTGTTGTCCACGTGGAAAAGAATGGAAAAGAACAAAGTTAACTATCCTCCATGACAGATCACAGCACATCCCAATCTGTAGACAGTGACTACAGTTAGGCATCCTTGAACACTGGCAGGACAGAAGAGTTTAAGTGTGCTTTACACACACACACACACACACACACACACACACACACATGACACAAGAGTTTAAGTGTACTTAACACACAGGCAGGACAGAAGAGCTTAATTGTACTTAACACACACACACACACTGGCAGGACAGAAGAGGAAGTGTACTTAACATAAATACACACAGTGCGTGCCTGCAAAATATGTGAGATAACACATATGTTGATTAGATAATACTTAGGCTAATAGACATTATGGAATGGCTAAATATGTGCACATTTCAAAATAACATGAATAAGATACATGTACATTTTTATTTGTCAATTAAAAGATCTAAATAAAAATAAATAAATTGCAAATATATTGACGATATAAGGAAAATATTATTTTTAAAAATTAGTAGGACATTTGTGTTGACTTAGTATTGGTGGATATTCTTTAACAAAATAGGAAATCCAGAAGTAACAAAAGACAGATTTAATTATCAAAAACTTCTGTACAGGGGGTTGTGGCTCAGAGGTACAGTGCTGGCCTAGCATGTGCGAGGCACTTGGCTCAATCCTCAGCACCACATAACAATAAATAAATAAAATAAATATATTTAAAAAACACAAATTTTTATACAGCAAAATGACAGCATAACAATATTAAATTAAAAATAGTAATAATAGGAGCCAGTCGTGGTGACACACGCCTATAATCCCAGCAGCTCAGGAGGCTGAGGTAGGAGGATCGAAAGTTCAAAGCCAGCCTCAGCAATGATGAGGTGCTTAGCATTATTTAGAGACCCCGTCTCTAAATAAAATACAAAATAGGGCTGGGATGGGGCTCAGTTGCTGGGGGCCCCTGAGTTCAATTCCTAGTACCCCCCCCAATAGTAATAATAAAAAATTACAAACCAGGGGAAAATATGTGCAATGTACATAATAAACAACTATTTTATGAGTCATTAAGAAAAGACAAACAGAAATGAGTAAAAGTGAAGAAAGATAATTCATAGAACATATACATGGCTAAAAAACATTTGAAAATGTGCTCGACTTCACTGGTCTCATTAAAATGCAATGTAAACTTCTGACATGAGAACAAGGACAGGGAGTAGAGATCTAAGGCTGCAGGAGTTGGGGAGGCAGGCCACTGCTCTTCAGTGCTGGGGAAACAGGACATCTACAAAGAGTCAGGGGTGGGGGGAATCTGTCAGGACCAACCCCAAACAAATTCCAGGAATCTAGTTTACAGACTAAAGAACAAAAATTAAGACACACAACAATGTTTACTGGTGCATGTTGATAGGGCTGGAAAGTCCAGGAAGCGCTTTCACAGTGGAAAAGCAGAACGAATATCCTGAAAAACCATGCCATTCTTAAGAAAGCCTTCGTTCTACAAGATGGGATTCCAGGAATGCCCACAATATCCTGGACACAAAAACAAATTATATCCCATAAAGAGAGAAAAACCAGAGGGTGTTTCAGTATTTGTATACATTTGGGTGCAGAAAATGCAGTTAACATTGTTCCTTCAGGGATGGAAGAGACTGGGAGTGACTATAACTTATCTTTAAGTATATTTGTGYTAAACTATTTTTAAAGAAAACAGTGGTGCTTTCCGAACCTTATTCATTATTCCCCAAAACGGACTTTCTAGTACTATGTTAAGAGTACGAAGGACCAGGCAAGAGATGGGCAAGACTAGTGATACAATTTCTGATCCTACACAAGGCATTGGACAGTCATGGGGACAACCCACCTCAAGCACATTCCAGAGAAGAGTGAAATTTCTGATTTGGTTTAAAAATATACTGAGAAGTAATCTAGATCTGTTCAGTCCAAAGATTCACATTTTGATAACCATAGCCACAGGAAGTGCTGAGACCCTGAAGAAGTTCAGAGTCTAGGAGTGTGCTCCTGCAGCGCTTGATGAGACCTGCCAGGCAACCCTGCCAGTCTCTGTAGGGTAAGGCACAGAAATGGGGCCAACTGATCCAAGAAAAGCCCATCTGGTGGCAACTACCACCAGATAAGGGAAAGTTCTATTTTTTAATGAGGGTACTGAGAGACCTAAAGTGAAGGAATTTTAAAGGAAACTGGCCCCATAAGGAAAGAAGGCCATACTGTTCATAGTCATGCTTTTACCTTATAGAAAGGGCACTCTAGGACTGAGGTTAGGAACAGTTGGGTCAGTTGTGCCATACTCAATCTGTCCAAATGTGACTCTTCACCTGAAATACAAAGTACCTCTGTTATTGTTCAGCTTGAATTTGGGTAGTGAGAGAACGAACATTATGAATATGAGACATTACACTCATGACTTCAAATGACTCTAGGGAATGAACTTGTCAGAATTAATAATGTCCTCTTCTTGCCATCAATGAAACTGATTTCCAAGAACCTAAGATCTTAGCTACAGATAATAAATACAGGATAAAATATAAATATAGGACAAAATATACTTAGAGAATTAGCAGAAATATTCTTTTAACCATGGACATAGAGGAATTTGATATATTTGGCTTTCTTGACTAGAATGCATAGCAGGCTGGGGGGCTCAGTTGGTAGAGTGCTTGCCTAGAATGTATAAGGTCTTGGGATCAATCCCCAGCGCACGCGCACACACACACACACACACACACACACACCAAAAAAAAAAAAAAAAAACCTAATAAGTTTTAAAATAAGGTAGAGAGATCAGACATTTTACTTTAACAAAAAAAAAAAATAGTACCATCCTCTTAAAAAAAGTCACAGCTGCTCACTCAACAAAGGTTCTGACACTATAATGGCTTTTATCACTGCCATTACCATGTCCCCCAGGAACCCTGCAGTACCCCAGCCAGGCAGCAGTCAGGTATATCTGAGGCTGCTTTCCTCTCTTTGCACAATGTCCCAGCTCTGTGTTTACACTAGCATCTAAAACTTCCAATCTCACTTTCAAGAAAAAATGAAGGCAGAGCATTGCTGTGTAAATGGTACCGAGGTAACCTGAAAACATCACAAGTTCAAAGGTTAGTTATATCCAAGTGTCAGAAAGTATAACCAAAAACTTGCCTTGAAGCTTTTGAAGAAAAAAAGGGCTGAATATTTTTCCCATGAAGTTGACTGGAGGGTGCGCAATCAGCGAACATGAATGGAGAAGTCTCAATAATGTTTTGGGTGGAAAACAATTGAAATGGGTGAAYAGCACATGTTCTAGCTTCCTAAATAAAGCAGGTGCATTTGGTGGCAAATAATTTAGTTTTCCAAATGGCTCAATTAACTCAGAAATCTGACTAGGTGATAATTTTTCTGATTGGCTAACAAAAGTTTCTGCCACTGCATTGAGGATGGGTTCCGAAAGAATCAGCTTTCTGCTGCAGTACTCCATGATTTTGCTGACAACATCAGCATTCAAGGTGAGGCAGAATGCAGCTACATGCCGCTCTAGGGCTTTGATAAAAAACTTGTCATTGTGTCCAAAATATATGAAAGCCTCTATGACTTTCCTGAGCTCTTCATTAGTGAAATGGGGAATGTGCCTCACAACATATTTACCCAATTTTATAACCAGAGGAAGTGCCTGAGCTTGATCTAGAACCACCAGAGCAGTAAGCATTTGGCTAATGGATTTAGGACTCAGGTAGGAAACTATTGAAAGGGAAAAGTTGTTTATCGTATTTAAAAATGTCTGGTGTTGGTCTACTTTTTCAGCACATGCCTGCAGTATTCTATAAAGGGCCACAATATCCTCCGGGGTAAATACTTCCAATTTTGCACCTTGCAGTTGATAGATAATTAGTTCTAGTGTCACACAACCTGGGCCTTGCAGTCTAATCAGACTCTCCCCAAGAACACAAAGATCATGCACTTCCAGGCCACCTCTTTTGAGACGATTCTGGCATTCTGCCATGAGATTCAGTACTAAGCTACTTTGAGTATCCACATGCAACCAAATCAGAGCTTGCAAAGCAGTYACCAAACCAGAGTTTGACAGCTGTGAGGGCTCCCGTTCAAGTTGAAAACATAAAGCTTGAAAGACACTGCTCTCTAGTATTTCTTTGGGCAGCCTTTGATCACCACCTTTTTTCTGTACTTCACAGATCCGTTGTAAGGCTCCTGCAGCCATAGCATCAGGCAGAGTTTCCAGTGTTTTTATAAAACTCAACACCTCTTCTGATGAAGTGAATTCGTTTAGTCTCCTGTAAAATATCTCTTCATCCTCATTTTTAAGATTTTGTTCAAACTTGTTCCAGTCATGTACCTGAGAGAATGCTGGCTCACCAACTGGATGAAGTTCATTTCCATTTTGTAAGTGGAACTTTTTATAGCAGGCATGATGAAAATGGATCCTGAAAGGCTCATACTGTACTGAACAGAACCAAGGATGCAGTTGCTCTTTAGATACCTTGTGAACATGATTTATAGGATGATTTCTCAGAGCGGCCAGAGCTCCATGTATCCGAAAATCAGACAAATGGCAGAAGTTCCTTCGCAAGGTAATTAAAGCCATGCCATGTAATTCTCAGCTCTTCTGGACTTGTAAAATAAAAAGACAAAGTCAAATACAAAGCACATGACTCACTGTATATCAATGTCCATGAAAAAAAGGATGGGTACTCCAAAACAGGGGTAAATAAAAATTTCCCACTTGTATATAAGCACTAGAAAGGTAGGTCTCTGTGTCCCAGAGCTTGGGAAAGTGACTGATAGGAAAAACAATTGCTGTCACTTGCCAGGAACAGTTCCAGGTGCTTTATAGGTGTACTCACTTATACAAATTATCTACTTTTGTCATCATCTGACAGCCAAAGAAGAAAGTGAGGCACAGAAAAGTTACTGTGTCCAGTTTACACAGCTAGTGTTAAGAGGGGGGGCCACCTTATGCTTTGAGCATAAACCTGCAGGTGGCTGACATTTTTTTCCCCCTTTTTCTCTTCCACTTTTCCTCCTCCCTAACAACCGGGGAAACAATACTAACACTTTACCTATCCCAGGCTAAGCACTCCTGTCTTCCACTGCCTGGAAGAATATCACTACCCACAAGAATAAACAAACTCCACACCTGGGAACTGGAGCAATGCCTCTCTCAAAGACATCTGCTGGATACTAAGTAATTATATCTGACTGCTTTGGGATCCCAGCCCTTGTGTTCCTGTTTAAAAAGCCCTGTGCCCCCCTGGCAGGGAGAATCACAGCCTCCGGGACAGGAGTCCTCTGTGTTTCTCCTGGGCTAGCAAAGCAATGAAACTCCTTCCTTTTTCTCAAAGCCTGTCTTTTTTTAGATCGGCGATGGAGCCAGGACCAGGCTTTGGGCATCGCGAGTAAGTGGCGAGCTGGGTGGGAGTCAAACTCCGAGCTCTTAGCCGCACGTCCTCCGGGCTGGTCCAGGGAGGGCTCCGTCGGCCAAAGGCGGAGCTCTTCAAATCCCGCGGGCCAGCTCGGGGAGGCGGGCCCGGCAGGGCAGGGGACGCGCGGCTCCCCGAGGGCTACCCCGGCAACCAGAGAAGAACAGAAAAGCAGACAACTGGGGAAGGACAACGAGGGGCCGAGGGACCAGGGAACTCGAGCGCGAGGAGCAGACGAGCCGGGAGCCAGGGTCGCGTCCTCCAGCGAAGAAAGGACCCCCACGGGCCGAGCGCCCGAACCCAGCGCCGCGGAGCCTGTGGTTCTGTTCCAGGGGGCGCCGCACATAAAGGGCCAGCGGCCCAGCACTGTGCACAGCCAGCCGAGCAGCGCAGGCGGAGCACCGGTGTGGACCCTTACCTGGCTCCGCCCGCACCGCGCTACAAGTAGCGGCAGAGGCTGGACCCTCGTGGGTCCCCGTACACGAACGCCGCGGCGGAAAGAAGCAGCTTGGCGCAAGCGCAAGATGCAGAATTGGCCCTGTACCACCCACATCTAGAGTCCTGTGATTGGCTCAAGTCTTCTCCGGAGCTTTCTATTGGTCATGAGTACGGAGCATGCGCACTTCGGCTGTACGCCTGTGCGCTGGTTAGACTCCCCGATTTTGCTAAGCCAGGGTCCTGCAYCGCAGGTGAGCGCCCTGGCGGCAGCGGTTCCCAGCTGCAGGCCCAGCTGGGACGCAGCAGAGGCCATCGGGGGTTTGGGCGTGGGTTCGAAGGTCGGCTGGGGTCCAGGGGTACGCGGTGTTGCCCTCCTGCACGGGGTCGCCGGGGCATGGGGTCTCCTCCGCCGCGCGATTCTCTKCCGCTGCGCCTGCGGGTCTGGAGCCGGGGAACCCCCGCGGAGCCGTGGCTGGCGCCTTCGTCCGTCCTTAGGCAGCCGCGGCGAAGGTTGGGCCCCGAGGTCCTCGGGACAGCGTGCGGCTCGCGAGGTTATCCGGCTGTGACATCTGGATAACATCCTCGCTGAGCCTTGGACTTGCAAGGTCTCCATGGCGTTCGCTTCGCTCTTCAGGCACTTAGCTGAGCACCTTGTGCCATRCTGTTCGGTTCCTAAGAGTAATTCAGTTAACATGTGAAGGCTTTTTGTTTGTGCTTTAGGTAAGCTAGAGGAGCATGAAAGTATGGGTGGTTTGTTCACCAAAAGCCAGTATTTTGATTTGGATTTCATTTTTGTCTATAAGTTGACAAGGGTTAGCCTCTGTTGATTTTACCCCTGGTTGACTCTTCAGGGGGAAAAAAAGAAGTTAGGATGGAAATATTTTTTTTCTTTTCATTACCATATGCACTTTTGATACTAAAATGATTAACAAAAAATAGATAAGACTTTTTTTAAGTGATATTATGGCTTGAGCATTGCTGAGGTGATTTGTGTGTCATATCCTTTATCAGGCAGGCAGAATCCTAATTTGAGGACTAGGGAGCTAAGATTCAGAACATTTAAGTAGCTTTCCTACCGGTGTTCACTTCTGAATGACAGTTTGGGGACCCAAAAGTAGCTTGACTTCATAATCTGATTTCTGAACCATGAAATTAGAACTTTAGTCTTGTCTTCTCCCTATTTTTGATGAATTCTGTGTTATTTAGGTTTATTTAAAATCAGTGCAAAAAATAAATTTAGAGAAGGCTTTCATATTGTGTGAATATTGTTTCATTCCTTTATGAAAATTTAGGTAGAATTCCTATGTTGAGGTTGTTACTACTTCATTAAGAAGAAAATTTCCCTTTTCCTGTTTCTGTTTTTCAGTGTCACTCTCATAGTCACAGCACATGCCTCGTGCAATGAGGAGGTTCTTGTTATTATACGCTACACAGCGAGGCCAGGCAAAGGCCATAGCAGAAGAAATAAGTGAGCAAGCTGTGGCCCACGGGTTTTCTGCAGATCTCCACTGCATCAGTGAGTCGGACAAGGTAAGAGATRTCACTCCAGTGGACTTCACAGTATCTTATGCTTCAAAGTATTTTGATTGGGAACTGATGTTAAACAAAGAAAGTGGCTCTATACCAATTTTAATCAGCCTTTTTTTTTTTTTTTTAAACAGAAGCAAACATATAAGTTAAGGTGAATGATCTCAGACTGAAAAAAGCAGCTACTTGTCAGTAAATGGTAGCAGTAGCATCTTCCTTGTTTATCTCAGCGGTGGCTGTGAGAACAAAGGAAGTGTGTGTATTCTCATGAAGGTTGAGCTTTGTAACTCATGAACCTCAGAATCCGTTTTGATTACCCAAAAAGAACTTGCGATTCATGTTAGAGTTCTTCCAAATGAAGGACTACTTGGGTTTTTTGTGAAATAGAATTCCAAGTAATGGTGTAAGGATCTGGGAAAAACCCTGCTRCTTAAGGTCAGGGACTCCTTGTTTGTATATTTATTTAGTCTCCGCTGAAATTCCTGCCTTATGATACATAACACTTTGTTCTTCTTTTTGTAATTCTGAGACCTCCAAATAGTGCTATCCCAGACAACTAAGGTGGTAACAGTTAGTGAGGACTTTGTACCACCAGAGGAAAGGCGAACCCCTGAATACTCAGGTTTACTTCAGTACTTGAGAACTATCTTGCCAGTGCCTTGTYACTCAGGTTCACAGCCTCTGGCCTCTCACGTCAAGTTTACCATACTGTTCAACAAAATAGGTGAATTATAAATTCAGCTTTTAGAAAGAGACTCACCTGGTTTCTTTAGGCAACACTGCCAGAGTGACTCCAGATGCTCTCACAGAAAGGGAGCTCCCTTTAGGAAGCTACCAGACAGTGGCCTCTGTCACTCAACAATAATGTAGACTTAGTGTGCTATGATGGATTACAACGTGAATCAGTCACTATGTACTGATAGTCTCCTAAAACAAGCCCTAATTAGATCCATTGGGTTGACCTCTCTAGCCGGGTCGGAGTAGCTCTCTACTTTCTCATTCATAGCAGGCCTTGTCAAGCTGAATCATCTTAGATGAACTGTGCACATAGTTGGACACAAAACTTGTGCASTGTTTTGTGAACATTTAATGGCCTAGGGAAAAGTTCTTCAGGAGTGAAAAGTGAGATTGAGGGTTTAGCTCAGCGGTAGAGTGCTTGTTTTGGATGCATAGGGCCCTGGGTTTGCTCTGTAGCACCACAAAAAAAATAAAAGTTAAATTTTTTTTATTTATTTCTTTGGACCCAAATTAAATAACACTTATGAGCAGTAGACTCCATGGAGTCACAAGAAGAAAGAGTGATCTACTTGAAGTGTTTAAATTTGCATTGGAATTAGAAGAAATTTCTCAGAATTAGGATTGCTGATAAATTCAGGGTACTGCTGCTAGCAAGCTCTGTTCCCTGGAACTCTGAAAGAGTGAGTTGGTCTTTATCACCAGGTCTGTGATAAAGTAGTCTGTGTTCTGGAATATTCTGTGAAGCTTCCTTGATGACCTGCTGTTTTAATCCCTTGTGCTTGCTGTCTGTTCTATTTCTATATCTCCCTCCCCCTTTAGAAAATCTATCTGCTTGCTTTTTTACTTTGTTTTAAGAAGTCATTCCCACCAAATTAGTTGCCTCTCCTGCTGAACATYGGAGTTTTTAGGCACGTCATCTTGGAAGAATTTACCCTGAATTTATCAGCAATCCTAATTTAAGAAACCAGGTTTCTTTCTCCTATCTTCATTTATTTGCCTTATAGATCAGAGCTCACTTTAACATTTGCCCCAGGGCACCATGACTGAGAGGTACCAATCATACTTATCTCTTCTCCTCTTGATGAGCATCAGCAAAACAAATGAGTGGCTGAATTAAGAAATATCTTACTTTGTGTAACTTGATTAAACAAGGGCACCTGGTCACTGGATGGGGACTGGTCACTCTGTATGCATCTCTAGTTACTTGGAAAGAAGAATAATTGGGAGAAAATACAGGATAGTAGAAACTAGGCCAATTACCCTCTCTGGCTGGTGTGTTAAATGACAGGTGATGTGGCATTAGGTCCTTCACTTGATAACCTTGTTTTGTAGTATGATCTAAAAATGGAAAGAGCTCCTCTCGTCGTCGTGGTTTCTACAACAGGCACTGGAGACCCCCCTGACACGGCCCGAAAATTTGTTAAAGAAATACAAGACAAGACACTGCCTGCTGATTTCCTTGCTCATCTGCGGTATGGATTATTGGGTAATGGACTCTATTTTCTGCTTTTAGTGCTATTATTGACTTTTAACTCTGGTTTTGGTTATATTTCTCAAAACCATGAAATACAATCATATGAGTTTTGTCTTTATTTTTATGTAAATATTATACATATATGAAACATGTAAATGTGAATAATGTGCTGCCATGTATGAATTCTTCTTCAGTATTTACCCAACAGTAACGTCTCTGGGGGACCTCCCAATAGCATTCTTAAGCAAGGATGCACATCAGATTCAGCTGCGAAATACTTTCAGAATATTAGTGGCTGGGCCTCTCCCCAGCCTACTGAAACAGAATCCTTTGCTGCTGTTTTACTGTTTAAAACAACAAAAGCAAGCCTCAGAAAGCTCTGAGGTGATTCGCTCACCATCTAAGAACCTTCCTCTAGGACGGTGGCTTTCAGCTCCAGCTGCACATTGAATCAGCTGGAGCAGTTCTTGATAGTTCCTTTACTTGGGACATGTCCATTGAATCTGTTTTCTGAGGTAGTGGTCTGGCGTTGGTATTTTAAAAGCTCCCAGGCAATGCCTCCCAGGTTAAGAAAACTGGCCTCCCAGGTTAAGAAAACTGGCACTGAGGAACCGTTCAAAGAAATGAAGATAAAGGATTGGAAGGACCAGTGTGGGTGCTGAGGGCCCATATTCCTGGCTTGTGTTCAGTGTCGTTCATCTTTGAGGATTATTTTGGCGGGAGGGTGTTTAGCAAGGATGGATTTTGCTTTGATAAACAACTGATTTAGAAATTTGAGACTAACCTTGGCTGTTCACTGGTATTGTTTAACATGATCACTAGAATATTTTACAGTGTTTTCAATTTTTTTTTAAATTGAAGTTTTTCCAGTTTCTACTTTAAAGAGCTAGCACATGTTGCTTTGACGTTTTCTCAAAAATGTATTATGAAGTCTATACTTATGGGTAGCCACTCATTCTTGTGGACCCAGCAACTTCTCTTCTTATTATTTGGAAAGAACAGGAGATCATTAAACAACTGAGGGTTTAAGCTTTCAATTTTAAAATTCCAACTGAGTGAAAATTTTGGTTTGTTTTCTTACCATGAAACAGAAGCAGTTCTTGCTTTACCTAAGAGACATTTTACAGAAGCTGCTCATCTGCAGCGCATGTGCCTCTGTGCTCTAGATCAGGAGTCATAAATGCTAAAAAGAGCCAGATACTAGTATATATAGCCTTTGAGGGCCATGAGGTTTCCATCACAGCYGCTGGACTCTACTGTTGTAGTCTCAAAGCCACCTTAAGCAATGTGTAAACAAACAGACTTGGCTGTGTTCCAGTAAAACTTTATTGTAGAAATGCTAGTGGATGGGATACGGCCTTATTTATAACAGGGTAGTGGAGGGGGCTGTGGTTGGTAGACCCCTGCTTAGGATCAGATGTATGCAGATAAAAGATATCCTGGTCTAAAAGCTGTATATTTCTCAGAACAGTGGTATTTGTTATAATACCAGTGTATCTGGTACATTTATGTTAAAAAATAGAGGGACATTTTCTGCATATTCAGTATTACTCAGGAAAAATGGTCACTTACCTCACCTGTGACAGTATGAAATAGTTTTGTTTTTAGGTGTTTTATTTATCTATTCTTTTAATCTTTGTGTGTACTAATATCCATTTGGACTCTTTAGGTTTGGGTGATTCCGAATACACATACTTCTGTAATGGAGGAAAAGTAATTGATAAACGACTTCAAGAGCTTGGAGCCCAGCATTTCTATGACACTGGACATGCAGATGACTGTGTGGGGTAAGGGTGACGTGCTTCTGTTTACTCCAGTAAAGTCTTACTCATACGTGGTGAAAGTTGGTGAGTTTTCAGAGTGTGTGGTTTTGAGGTTTAGCACTCATGCTTGGCCTTGAGAATCTTTTRTAGTTTTAGCTTTTTGAGTGCCAGGGTCCAAGAGGGCCAGCCGGGGTTTGGCTTTCTTGTTTTGCTGATATTTTGTGTGTGTGTATTCCTGTCTCTCTCATCCTYCTCAGTCTTTGTTAATGGAAACAGTTAGAAAAGTGTCCCAGCACAGTTGTCCTTATCTTGATGGGGTTTGTAAAGTCAGGGCCTGAGCAGGTCAGGCATCACAGGAAGACACAGCAGAGGGCCTTCAGCCTGGCTGTGTGGCCGGGCTGTGTCTCTTACTGTCCTCATGGCCTTTGCCATCCCACCAGTCAGAAGTGTGTGTTCTCTTATTCTTGCTCTTGGTTTGTTTGTTTTGAGATGGGGTCTTGCTGTGTTGCACAGGCTGGTTTCAAATTCTCACGCAGTCCTCCTGCCTCGGCCTCCTCAGTAGCTGGACTTGAGGCACACAGCACTATGCCCAGCTTTATTCTTGTTTGTGCAACTCAGTATTCACCCCATGGCTGCCTTTCAACTTGGGTGTTTATTCAGAGATTCTACAGGTGCTGTCATGTTGCTGCTTCGTCTGGATAACGGCATGCATACTTTTTTTTTCTTTTTAAACTAGGTGCATGTGTTCAATGAATTTTCATTCACTGTATTAATAAATAAACTGTTTATGAGAAATGACAAATTCAGTAAATGGCTTGCCTTCCTGGATTAGAGGATGATGGAGACTCCTCATGTGTCCCCTTACCTGGACCTTCCTGCCCACTCTTCCTTCGTTTTCTGCTCTGTTATGCTGTGGATTGTTTCCAAATCAATGTGTTCTTCATTGTGACAAAACATTTCTTGGACTGTTACCTTTTATTTTTGTTCTTTTATTTTGAGCTTTGTCCCCTGCCAGGCCTCATTGACATTAAATGTGTGGTCATGATGAGCTGTGACCAGTCAATGTCACAGTGCTTATGTTAATCCCACATGTCTCACGTGTCTTCAGAGGCTCTTTACTCTTTGCCCATTCATTAGATTAAATATTAAAACCTTTGAATGTATATCTCTGTAGTCTGCACCTCTTAAATTTTGACCCTATTGATTTTTTCCTTTTTCTAAAATTAAGGTATTTTCCATAAGCCACCCTTGCCTAGTAATGACCGCCATGCGAAGGAGCTGAAAGGCAGACTGCAGTCCAGGCACCTGGGTCACAGCCTTGGTCCCCTACTGACTGCAACCTTGGTCTCTTCAACTTTTTGTGCTGAGGTTTCTTCCTCTATGAAATAGATAATAGTAGTATTTACTGTGTTAGCTTCTGTCGGATGAAGCAATGCACTTTAGCCTCTTAGAATGTGCCATCATAACGAAGCTGGCTTTCTCGATAATGGATGTTGTCACCTTGACAGTTCTGAGTTATGAAGATGATGTGCTACTGCTGAACCCATATTTTTATAAACTTGCTTTCACAAAGGCTTGTGGGGATAAATGCAATGTATAACCAAATTTTAAACTGTGTGCCTATAAACATCTAATAATGATAAATTGTAACTTGAGTCCTGAGAAGATAAAGTTCTGAAATGTCTTTTCTGGATGGTTGTGAACTAGAGTTTGATACCTGTGTTTGTTTGGGATGATGTGATAAAGAGGTCATTTTCAATGTCCAGACACAGTCTTCCTTATCCATTTGCTTTATTTAACCTAAGGGTATATGGGATTGTTATTGTTTAGTTACACTTTGTTAGTAATAACTAAATGGCCACACTTTAAGAATTTATTTGTGATTAATTCAAATTTCCTAAAGTATGGTTTGTTTCTTTCTCTRAGGTCAGCCTCCCTAGATATTACCAAAAAATTATTTAGAACTGATAGGTTTGAGTGTTTTATTTAGTCCAAATAGTTGGCATTAATCCAGAGTGATTTCTTGGTCATATTTTAATATGTCGGAGAAGGATAAGTAAATTAGCCAGGCAAAAAAAGTTGCTATATTCAGTGGATCATCTGACCTTAGAATAGCCTCAGATTTTGCCTATGTTCTTTTACTTCATCAGATCTTAAACCCGCTCTTTCAGAAATTAAGACAAATTATGTTCCTATTGTCATATAAYTAAAATATCTTCTTGCCTCACTTCATTTCTTGACCTCTTTACCTGCTCATTTTATGGCTACAGTACTAATGAACACATAAYGGTCTTCTGCTTTTTAAAACTTAATCATTCCTAAATATTTCTTATGTTCTTAATAGTTCTCATATTTGGTTTTCTAACAGTTGCATGTGACGTTCTGCTGAGTGGGTGGATCCTGTCCTTACCCTGTTGCTGTGTTCCAGTGGACACTTGAGCATTTGTTTCTTTTCTCTTTTTCATCATGTGCCAGTTTAGAACTTGTGGTTGAGCCTTGGATTGCCGGACTCTGGGCTGCCCTCACGAAGCATTTTAGGTCAAGTGGAGGACAAGAGGAGATGAGTGGAGCTCTCCCAGGGACATCAAAGGCCTCCTTGAACTCAGATCCTGTGAAGCCACCACTATTACACATTGGGTCGCAAGTTGAGCTTCTAAGATTAGATGATTCAGGAAGACAGCACTCAGAGGTTTTGGAACAAAATGAAACSAATAGAGGTCAAACAAATGGTTTGATTGAAGACTTCGAACCCTCACTCATCCGCTCAAAACCCCCACTCTCACAAGCTTCTCTCAGTATTCCTGCTTTACCCCCAGAATATTTACAGGTGCATCTACAGGAGTCTCTTGGCCAGGTGAGCAACTTTTCTTTATGTTTTATGCTATAGTTATGCAACTATGGGCATGTTTTTTGTTTGTTTGTTTGTTTTTGTTTTTTAACACAGGTCAACAAACTAGTACTCCCCTGTCAAATGCCTCTCTGTTGAAAATAAGTTTTGTTGGCATACAGCCATGCCCATTTTTTCTGTCCTCTGTCTGTGGCTGCTTTTGAGCTATAGTGGCAGAGTTGAGTGGTTTATCTTTGGCATACGGAGCCTAAGATGATATTGGCTAGCCCTTCCAGAAGAAGTTGGCCTGCCCATGTATTACACAAGAGTTGGTATTACAGACTGAATGTCCTGATCCTAAAATCTAAAATGGTCTGAAATCGAAAGCTTTGTGAGTGTTAATGTGATGCCACAATCAGAAAATTCCACTCTTGACTTTGTGTGATGGGTTTCACTCAAAATGCAGGTGCATAAAATTACCTTGAAGCTGTGTCTGAGGCATTCATGAAGCATAAAGGAACTTTTTGTGTAGATGTGGGTTCCATGTCCACCATACCTCCTTAAAAAGCTGTGTGGAGCTCAGTGGTGGAGCACTTGCCCAACATGAGGAAGGCCCTGGGTCACATCCGCAGCACTGAAAAAATGTTTATATATATATATATATATATATATATATATATATATATATGGAAAATTGTTTATTTTAGAAAAAGATATCATTATGTATGTGCAAATATTCCAAAATCCAAAATATTTTTGTCCCAAGCATTTTTCCTAGGAGATACTCAACCTGTATTATGTTAAAGAAGTAGATGGTCTATTTTGCAAAACTGATTTTTGGATTTTCATCTTAAATTTATGAGTCAAACAAAGGTACGTTTTATGAGCAGTGAAGAAATTACCTCAGTAACTAAACTTAAAGGACTTATTTACAATGTTGTCTCTTTCCAGTGTGAATTTTTGATGTTCTGGGATGCTTTAACTGGGGGTCATTATTTTTTCTATTATTATTATTTTTTATATATTTATTTTTTAGGTGTAGATGGACACAACACAATGCCTTTATTTTTATGTGGTGCTGAGTATCGACCCCGGGTCCCGCCCATGCTGGACGAGCGCTCTACCACTGAGCCACAATCCCAGCCCTTTTTTCTATTATTTATAGACATGTCTTTGTCTATATTAAGTCTCAAGATTTTTGAGTTTCAAGTTGACTGATAGCTGATTTTTCTGCATTAGAGCCAATACGTGGAACCCGAAATTTCTTCAACATGTTTAAAATAAATTTACAGTGCATGAACTCTTTTAATGTGGGGCCAATCCCTCTTTCTATAGAGTGGCTGATTGGAGTTCCGTGTGGACATTCTAACATAAATCACACTTTTAATGCAACTATAACCATTTCTAGTTTGTACTTTTATTTTATTTTTTTTAATAAGATGGGCTTTTGAGGAACGGTTTGATTGTAGCATCTTTCTAATACATTAGAGCTGCTTGGAAAGAGGTTGCTGCTAGAAGCCTATTTAGCGTTCAGATAACTTTATGTATAAACCACCATGGGTTGTTATTTTGGGCTTTTTCCTTATTATTTTGTGAATTGTATAAGTGAGGTGATTGTAAGCTCATGTTAATCAGGCTTAGGAATGGAAGCCGCACTGTCAAGTAGCCCCATCTGTGGGCCAGGGGCTCGCACATGGCAGAGGTGGTAGTGCTGATCTACCTGCATGGGTGGGAGGAGGGCCTTTTGAGTCTCTTCTGTGGCAAGTGTCATTGTGTAGGCTTAAGTTATAAATGGTAAGGTAGTTAAAGGAGTTTAACCATCTGAACTCTTTAAGGAGACTTGTATAAATCTGCCGAAGCATGTACTCCATGTAGAGGTATTGCCCTGATACTAGAGGCTCTCCTGGGCCAGGTGGTATGGAGCAGAACCTCCTGTGGGCACCTTCCCTTGACTGCTAGAGAGCCCTGTCCTGCTCTGGGCCACTCAGCTGGTGTTCGCAAGACAGCAGCCCTTCCCAGTATGCAGTGTTCTGCCCCAGTCCCTGAGGAGACTTGTAGCTATTCTGTTCTGCTTCTTCCAGGACAAGTGAGGTGAAATGAACACCAGTGTGGCCTTTACTCAGGAGGACTTCTCTTGATTTGCAGGCTCTAGGGTCCCTAAAAACTATAGTGTCCTTTTGCATCCTTAGGTATACATAGGGCACTGCTCTTACTGAAGTCTCTGACACACTAGCCACTCCTTGCTTACACAGTCTGCCTAGCRCATGCCATGGGAAGGTGACCCATTGTAGTGCCTTGCAGGGAGTGTTGTCATTCCCATGAGTCACAGTTGTGACTGTATCATCTGTTCCAAGGGAGAGGGTGCTGGATCTGGCTCCCTTACAGAAGGCAAGGGGAGAACCATGTTGGCTAAGCCATTGTCCAGCACGTAGGCCTGAGGCTGTGTGAGTTTGCTCTGTCAAACCTGCCCTGAGGCTGCAGCAGGCCTGCTGTTAACAGTCACCAGGGTCCATCTGGCTATTATGAAAACCAGAGCRGCAGTTGAGCTGGAGTTAAGATGAGACTGTCCCCTGGATACTTTGGTTTGCAAGGGTAGCGTTGCCCTTGCTTTTCCTCCTAGGATACTGCAGTTTTTCATTTTCTGTCTTGGTGAAGTGGGAGATGGTATCAGATTCAAAGGCTGCTTCTTGGCATCCCCCACAGGCCCAGCACCCTCAGGGGTACTGTGCTAGTTGCTGGGTGACCACTGGAGGGGCAGGACCCAGGGGACTCTGAGCTGGACCTGGTCCAGGGCTCCATTAACTACCTGGCCCCCACAGGGGGCTGTGAGGACACCTTGGGTCCCTAGGTGACAGTATCAGTTTGGACCTTCTTGTAGCGGACCCTGAAATGTTTGGGCATTTCCCTTGGCCCAGTGTACGTTTTCCTCTGGGAGAAGGCCTGGGAGTTGTTATGTCTGGTCTCTCCCTACAGACTCACCTTCCTGTGGACATGGGAGTCCAGGGCTGGGTACTGAGCTGGGATTCTATGCATTTTGGAGGGGTTGCTCACAGCTTGCTGGTTGTGTCTCCTTGATTTATATTTATTGTCAAGACTGATCTGGTGTGCTTGTTGGCTGCTCGTTTGTGTTGACCCTCAGGATGCCACTTTCTCATTAATCAACTCTGGTTCCTCGGGGCAGGTGCCCTGGCYGCCTCTCCCTCCTTTCCACTCGCTGTGGTAGTGTGCCCGCCTGTCTGTGCTTGCTCGTTGCCCCCACCTGCCCTCTGTTCTTTGCGGTGCTGCCTCTCCTGTTGTTGTTGACACCAGCCCCTGCAGAGGCCAGCTCTGAACTTGGTGGTGATGGTGGTGTTGTGGTCAGCAGAATAGCCCTGATGGCCTTGGCAGTATTGTATCTTTCAGTGCTCCCACGGGCCAACTCCCATGGGTGGTGGGCTCTGCATTACCTCCACTCTGACAGGCCCCCTCCCAGCCTTCTACTCCTTCCTTCAGATGCTGGCATGGCCCTGTGGGTCTTTTTGTCATGCTCTGTATAGCTCTGACCTTTTCCTTCTAGGAGCTGTGCTGTGAGTACAGTCACATCATCTCTAGGGGCTCCTGCGGGGGCATGGAAACCCGTGTGCTGGGAGAGTGCTTCCAGTTAAAATTCCTTACCTGTGTTTATGTTCCAGGTCTTCAGACTCCATCCGTGTGCCCGCTTCTGGTCCTGTCAGTGCTGTTGCCCTGTGCTGGGCTTTCCTTGGGGGATAGTCCCTGGCCTGCCTTAGTGGGCCCAGCACCTCATCAGCCAGGTGTATTACTCTAGTTACTGCAACACCCAGGGTAGGCGGTGGCKTGCAGGGATGAGGCACAGCATGTCTGTGGGCAGAGGCTCCTGCATCATCCTGTGAGGAAGGGAATCCTTTCCCTTGGTGCAAAGCTCTGGCTGCATCAATGGGATTGGGATCCAAGAGTGTCTTCCAGATGTCAGGGATCCATGCTGTCAGTTCAGTCTGTCCTTACTCTTCTCTTCCTCCAGGGCCATGGGCTACAGGAGGTGCAGGCCTCTTTGGAAGCTACTGAGGATGTTCTGTGGCCTTCACACCTAGTTTTTAACTGCAGTTAATTACTTCAGTCGTTTGCATTTTCCCGAGTGAGCACCAAGCGTGGAGCCACTTGTCCTGGGGCTCTTGTCAGTGCTCCTTCCCTCTCCACTTCAGCCCTTTTCACCTCCTGGCTAATGCATTTGCTTCCACTTGTACTCTGTCCGCTTAGCAGGCACGTTGCTACCTTAGGCCGGGCTCGCTCTGTCCCATCTGTTGTCCAGCGTGAGGATCTCCCTGTCACCGAGGCAGGTGATCAGCTCTGGATTCCTATTTAGCATTGTTTCAGATTACTCTAGCACAGCTATTCATGGAATGAGCAGGATTCCCAGGAAATAAACTACGAGATGTTTTTAGGCAGCCTCTTGGGATTGTCACCTTGGGGACCTCAGGAATGAAACCAGGCCTTGGGGACAGTGACAGATTTGAGCTGGAATACAGTCTCAGCGAAGGCCTGAGCCAGCCCCATTGGGTTTTCTGGAGCTGTCTGGTGCTGAGCCTTGTCCTGAGTTAAGGCAAAGGTGATCAGTATTGGTGTGTCTGCTTCTGGGAGGAGGTATGGCTGGGTGCTGCAGCGGGGCACATGCTCTCTGAGGGGCGAAGCAGGGTGCTCCCAGCACTCCTCTAGAGCCAGGTATCCAAAATCACTTGGTCAGCACTTGTTTAAATGTTGTTTTCTATTTTTAAACATAAAGATAATCATGTTAGAAAARGAATGGAGGTAGGACAAAGAATTGGGTTTCTTTGCATTTTCTTAAGACAAATGAACTACTAGATGTGTGTATCTACTAAAATTTAAATCAATGAACAGTAATTAAGATGAAGAATTCAGTTTCTAAGTCACACCGTTCACAATTCAAGTCCTTGCAGCCACCTGATCAGCATTGCCCAACAAGAGGGCATTACTTTGACCATCTTCCTGGGCATGTCCACCCTTAAACATGGGTCCTTTACTTTAGGACCTCCTTTTTGAGGTTTTTGCATGTGTACTATTTTCCTTTGCATAACRTATGAGGAAGACTATGAGACTTTATGTGAAATTGCTAGTATTAGTGTTTTCTATTTGTATTTCAGAAATTCTGAAGTCTAATTGTGTTGTTAAGTGCATGTGAGCTGATCTTGTGAAAAGTTAGGTTTATATGTCTGTTTACCTTAGAAATAAATATTGACTAGCCAGGAAGTTTCGCAAGATTACATGGATCTCGCAAGGTCACTGGGTGAAGGAGGGGTGTATTTGAGAATCACATTTAGCTGCATTTATCACCGTTGTTCTCAAGGAGGAAAGCCCAGCGTCTGTGACTTCAGCAGATCCAGTTTTTCAAGTTCCAATTTCAAAGGCAATCCAGCTCACTACAAATGATGCCATAAAAACCACCCTGCTGCTAGAGTTGGACATTTCGGTAAGTCACAGAACTTCCTTCTTCACACAGTTACATTGTCAGAATGTGCAGGGAACCAGGTGATTCTTGGTTTCTAACACTGAGGAATCTCTGGAAGGACGTGTGATGACGGGCATCAAAACTGTGCTTCTGTTTGCATGGTGTTGAATAGCTACACATTTCTTTGAACATGTTAATTATACATATTTGTACTGTTRCCTTGAGACCTTTTATTTTATATTCTGATATTTCATAAAGAGGCAGGTAGCCAGTTGCTGAGTGGCCTGTTTCCCTCTGAGATAAGGAATGCAAAGTTATCCTCTCCTGTCCCTTTCTGCCCACGGGAAAGGAGCAGAGTGAGGAGAAGGAAATGGAAAACCAGGGCGGTGGACTTCCTTAGCTACTTCTGGGCATACTGGGCATGCCCATATGAGTTTTTATTATAGGAATTTTTACACAGATTGGGTAACACTAAGGTACCTTATTCCTTCAAAAGTAAGGAACGTCTGACTTATATTCCATAAACATGTAGTAATGGGGGGGAAACTCTGGATAATCTAGAGCTCATCACCTGCCTCGGTGACAGGGAGATCCTCATGCTGGTCAACAGATGGGACAGAGTGAGCTCTGGCCTAAGGAAGCAAAGTACCTGCTAACTTCTACCGAATTTCTTTTTTAAAGTAGCTACTAACAAAAGTATGGTTGCTTCATCAATTGAGTCCATTTGTTAATTTCTTTTTTGCAGAAGAATTCCTTTYTAGGTTCCTATATTAAAGAGTAATGTAATGAATTTTTTTTTTTTTTTTATCTCACACCTAAATTCTTTAAACTTACGTAGAATTCATTCATTTTGTTTCTTTTCTAGAAAACAGAGTTTTCCTATCAGCCTGGAGATGCCTTCAGTGTGATCTGTCCGAACAGTGATTCAGAGGTTCAAAACCTCCTGCACAGACTGCAGCTCACTGATAAACGAGAGCACTGTGTCCTTCTGAAAATCAAAGCAGACACCAGGAAGAAAGGTGCGGCCTGTGCCAGGCTTACTGGGGAGTCACTGGTCAGTGGGCTGCTGCTGTGTCCCGAGAGCGTCCTGTGYGATGGCTGCTCAGATACTGGGACTCTGTCACCATTGGGGGCACAGCACTAGTGTTGCCACCTGGAGACAGTAATGGATTTTACACTTATTGGACACTTGTGGGTGTGAAAGGGGAAGGTGACTGAAGTCTTTGAGAAGTAGTGGCCTAGAACCTGTTTAGAAAATTCTTTATTATGGTTACTTCTCCAAGCATACTATAGTGATGCAGCCACATCAAGTTTATAGCAACTCAATTCACAGTAGACTTATGGAACCAACCTAGGAGTCCCTCAACAGATGAATGGATAAAGAAAATGTGGTATATATACTCAATGGGATATTGCTCAGCTTTAAAGAAGAGTAAAATTATGGCATTTGCCAGTAAATGGTTGGAGTTGGAGAATATCATGCTAAGTGAAATAAGCCAATCCCCATAAAACCAAAGGCCAAATGTTGTCTCTAATATGCAGATGCTGATTCACAAGAAGGCAGGGGACACTAGGGAAGAATAGCATGACCTTAGGTTAGGTAGAGGGAAGTGATGGGAGGGGAGGYGGGGGATGTGGGCATAGGAAAGACAGTAGAATGAAGCAGACATTATTACTGTGTGTGTATAAGTGACTACATGACCAATATGATTCTGCAACATGTACACTCAGAAAAATGAGAAATTATATTCCATCTATGTATATCAAAGTGCATAAATGCTTTCTGCTGCCATGTATAACTAAAACAAATTTAAAAATTAAAATAAATAAGTTGTTTTTCCCATAGTTAAAAGAAGTTAATTCATTTTTTAAAATTTCCKTTTTTTATTTCATCTTGAATTCATAATATTTTTTAAGGTGAGGTTTTTCTGCCATATTGGGCAATTTTTAAATTTTTTTAAATTTATATATGATAGCGGAATGCAATACAATTCTTATTAAATATATAGAGCACAATTTTTCATATCTCTGGTTGTATACATAGTATATTCACACCAATTTGTCTCTTCATACCTGTACATTGGATAATAAGGATCATCACAATCTACCATCATTAATAACCCCATGCCCCCTCCCTTACCCTCTAACCCCTCTTCTCTATCTAGAGTTCCTCTATTTGTCCCATGCTCCCGCTCTCTTTCCCACTGTGAATCAGCTTCCTTTTATCAAAGAAAACATTTGGCATTTGGTTTTTGGGGATTGGCTAACTTCACTTAACATTATCTTCTCTAACTCCATCCATTTACCTGCAAATGTCATGATTTTATTCTCTTTTACTGCTGAGTAATATTCCACATTTTTAAAATCCATTCATCTACTGAAGGGCATCTAGGTTGGTTCCACAGTTTAGCATTGTGAATTGTGCTGCTATGAACATTGATGTGGCTGTGTCCCTGTAGTATGCTGTTTTTAAGTCCTTTGGGTATACAATGAGGAGAAAGGAATAGCTGCGTCAAATGGTGTTCTATATTGGGCAAATTTGTGATTAATTAAACATTCATAAATCATTTGCACTTTGATTGCATCATGATGTCAAGTGTTGCAAGTGGTTGTATTTTGAGGAGTGCAAGACACCTTCCCAAGATGTGTTTTGGATTCATTCTCCTATTTTCTCTTTCATGAACTGTCTTCACTTGAAAAGGAGCCACTTTGCCCCAGCATGTTCCTGAGAGGTGCTCTCTCCAGTTCCTCCTTACCTGGTGTCTCGAAATACGTGCCGTTCCTAAAAAGGTATTTCTCTATCTTCTCTGTGAAACTGTTTTAAATGTGCTTGGAACTTACTAAATAGACCTGCTGTCTACCCTTTGAAGGCTTGAAAACATGGCTACACAGCGTGCCTTTAAATTAGTTCCCAGGGAGATGTGGAATCTTCCTATTGTCACAGGCAAATAACTTCATGTTACGTGTAGGAGGATCATGAAGAGATTCATAAAGCAGGTCTCTTTCTCCCTGCGTTTTCACTTTCATGTATTACATTGATCTGTGATAGGCCTGGTGCTGTCCAGCTGCGCAGTGCTCCTCCTTCCCTCTTGATGCCAGGAAGCTTATGAGAAGCCTGCTTGCCACCACCTGAGTTGCTTTCTTTTGGCACCACATAATCACTCATTGCAGAGTCAGAGTTCTTCAGGGAAGCTGGAAGTCTTGCAGTAGGTTACATTGGCCTTTAGATGAATTCAGAGCTAGAACTATCCACTAGGGGTCAGCATTTTACCAGGAGTTATATTAAGAAAATACTCCTAATTTTTTTTTTTTTTTCCTTTTTTGGTCGGGGCACACTGGGGATTGAACACAGAGGGCTGGGGCTGACCCCAAGCTTGCAATCCTCTTGCCTCAGCATTCCAATTTTCTGTAATTACAGGTGTGCTCTGCCATTCCCCACTCAAGTGGTATTAATGGATAAGTTTTCTGGGCTGTGTATTGGCTTGGATTTTACTGAGCATAAAGAGTGCAATTAGTAGGGTACTCTCTCCCCAGTGTGGTTTTTATTCTGTTTCGTTCATGTGTTTATTGCATCTCTAGTCTTTAGGAAGCAGATCACTTTAGAGAGACTGAGTCCTAGATATAATTTGAGTAAATTTAGAATTAATTCTCTGTGATTAAAAACTTCTTGATTAGGTTTGGTAAATTAAGTTTTGGTTACTAGCATCATTTTAAAAATTTTTGCAAAGTACATATATGGATATTTTTCATTATCACAAAAATAATATGCTCATTATAAAAATTAAGCATGTAGAAATAGTCCAGGAAAAAACATATCAGAAAGATAGTGCACCATGATCAAGTGGGGTTCATTCCAGGGATGCAAGGTTGGTTCAACATATGGAAATCAATAAATGTAATTCATCACATCAGTAGGCTTAAAAGTTAAGAATCATATGATCATCTCAATAGATGCAGAAAAAGCMTTCAACAAAATACAGCACCSCTTCATGTTCAAAACACTAGAAAAACTAGGGATAACATGAACATATCTTAACATGTAAAAGCTATCTATGCTAAGCCCCAGACCAACATCATTCTAAATGGAGAAAAATTGAAAGCCTTCCCTCTAAAAACTGGAACAAGACAAGAAGAAGGCCCTCTTTCACCACTTCTGTTTAACGTAGTTCTTGAAATACTAGCCAGAGAAATAGATGAAAGAAATTAAAGGGATATGGATGGGAAAAGAAGAACTCAAATTAGCACTATTGGCCAACGATATGATTTTATACTTAGAAGACCCAGAAGATTCCACCAGAAAATTTCTAGAACTAATAAATGAATTTAGCAAAGTAGCAGGATATAAACGCAACACCCATAAATCAAAAGCATTTCTAAATATCGGTGCCAAATCCTCTGTAAGAAACAAGGAAAACTACCCCATTTACAATAGCCTCAAAAAAAAAAATCTTGGGAGTCAATGAAAGAGGTGAAAGACCTCTACAATGAAAATTACAGAATGCTAAAGAAAGAAATTAAAGACCTTAAAAGATGGAAAGATCTCCTTGTTCTTGGATAGGCAGAATTAATATTGTCAAAATGGTCATATTACCAAAAGCACTGTACAGATTTAATGCAATTCAAATAAAAATCTCAGTGACATTCCTCACAGAAATAGAAAAAACAGTCATGAAATTCATCTGGAAAAATAAGAGACCCATAATAACCAAAGCAATCCTGTGCAGGAAGAGTGAAGCAGGTGGCATCACCATACCAGAGCTTAAACTATGCTACAGAGCAATAGTAACAAAACAGCATGGTATTGGCACCACAATAGCCTTGTAGAACAGTGGTGCAGAATGGAGGACACAGAGACAAACCCACATAATTATAGTTATCTTATATTAGACAAAGATGCCAAAAACATATATTGAAGAAAAGATAGCCTCTTCAACAAATAGTGCTGGGAAAACTGGAAATCCATATGCAACAAAATGAAATTAAACCCCTGTCTCTCACCGTGCACTAAACTCAACTCAAAGTGGATCAAGGACCTAGGAATTAAACCGGAGACTCTGCACCTAATAGAGGAAAAAGCAGGCCCAAATCTCCATAATGTTGGATTAGGCCCCAGCTTCCTTAATAAGACTCCTATAGCGCAATAAATGGGATAGATTCAAACTAAAAAGCTGCTTCTCAGCAAAAGTAACAATCAGTAAAGTAAATAATAGCCTACTAATTGGGAATAAATTCTTACCACACTCACATCAGATAGAGCACTAATCTCTAGAATATATAAAGAATTCAAAAATCTTAACATCATAAAAACAAATAGCCCAATAAATAAGCCAAGGAACTTAATAGACACTTATTAGAAGAAGATATATAATCAGTCAATCAACAAATATATGAAAAAGTGTTCAATATCTCTAGCATTTAGAGAAATGCAAATCAAAATCACTCTAAGATTTCATCTCACTCCAGTCAGCTATTAAGAATACAGACAACAATAAGTGTTGGTGAGGATGTGGGGGAAGAGGCACACTCATACATTGCTGATGGAAGTACAAAATGGTGTAGACAATATGGAAAACAGTATGGAGAATCCATGGAAAACTTGGAATGGAGCCACCATTTGACCCAGCTATCCCTCTCCTTGGTCTATACCCAAAGGTCTTAAAAACAGCATACTACAGGGACACAGCCACATCAATGTTTATAGCAGCACAATTCACAGTAGTTAAACTGTGGAACCAACTTAGATGCCCTTCAATAGATGAATGAATAAAAAAATGTGTTATATATACACAGTGGAATATTATTCAGGATTAAAAGAGAATAAAATCATGGCATTTGCAGGTGAATAGATGGAGTTGGAGAATATGATGCTAAATGAAGTTAGCCAATCCCAGTGACAGCTAGGTTGTAATCATTTGCCAAGACAAAAACTAGGTGTGTTCTGAGATAAAATCTTGAGCTATAGAACTTTGTGGTCATACTCTGATATCAGTCTTGATAGACAATTTGGGATTGTATTTGTGACTGATCAGGTTGCTTAAGATAGAGCAAAAGTGACTGAAAATTGAACATGGCAGTAGAATTTTCTGAGCAGGCCAAGATTAAAGCAACTAATGAATCAAATTCAGTTTTTCTGGCCACATTCCTGGTGATTCTCCCTTTTCCTTGCTTAGCTGGGTGAACTCTGGGCCTGACTTGTGCTAGGCATGTGCTGCACCACTGAGCCACACCACCCACGCCTCCAGCTAGACGTTCTGATCGTTTTACCTGCTTTACAGCTCGGCTCACTAAATTGCTTCCTTCCCCAGGCATTTTTGCGGGCTCTTGCTGACTGCACCAGGGACAGTGCCGAAAAGCGGAGGCTGCAGGAGCTGTGCAGTAAACAGGGGGCAGGGGATTACAACCACTTCGTGCGGGATGCCAGTGCCTGCCTGTTGGACCTCCTGCTGGCCTTCCCGTCTTGCCAGCCGCCGCTCAGTCTCCTGCTCGGTGAGTCCTCGCTGCCCGGTCCCCGGGTTCTTCGGGATCTGAGACGCCAGTGCCTGTGTGGCTGTGTGTCTGAATCCCATGCAATGTTTGTGCCCATGTGGCTGACAAGTGGCAATGGATAGCATCCTTGTCTTTAGGGAACAGTGACATCTGTGCTGCCTTCCAGGAGCCAAAGGTCCCTCTTCCAGGCTTTTTGATTCCCTCGTTTTTTTTCTTTTTTTCTTCTATTAATGTCCCTATCATTTTCTTTCTTAACAGAACCAGTTTTAATTTTTTTTCTCAGAATTCATCATTTGCAATTTATTTTTTCCAGAAGGTTCTTTTGCCAAATTTTATCTAAAAGTGAGCTAAGAGAAAATTATCTTTGACAAAGATACTGAGCGCCATATTTAATTGACAGAGGTTGATGAGCCATGTACTCTGTGTAGAGTGCAGGTGTGTCCCCATGGCTGCCCAGGTGTAGGGTCCTTCAGGAGCAAAAGGGGGCTCCTCTTGTACCTGTACACGTCCATTACTGGGGCGGGGGACAGGAGGCAGGCTCATCATAGGTATTTCAGATGCAGGTGGTCCCGCAGAGCGCCTGGCTTGTGGTTTTGGCCTGTTCTGGTTTCCTGTGGGGGCTGTAAGTAGATTGTTGACATTCGCGTGTGTCTTGTGACCCGAAGCCTATCTGGGCCTCTTTAGTCCTGGGCCAGCCAGGGGCCCGCTGATGCGTTCACAGGGAAGGGCGCATCCCCAGCAGGTCAGGCTGGCTTTCTCTTCCGTGTTGGCGCAATTCCACTTGGATTCTCAAAATGATAAAAAAGTAAAATATGTGCACTCAGTCATGAGGCTGTTCCTCACCATCCTGCCTTCAGGCTGTTGCCCCAGCTTTTCAGTTAAGTTTTATTGATGGGATCAGGTACAGATCCTAGGTCAAAATACCACCGAAAAAATTAACTATGTTAAAAAAAATTACATTGGGGCCTATAAAATTTTTAAGGTATTTTACAATTTTTTAGGAAAAATTAATACATCTAAAGCTTAATGTTAAGGTGAGTCCTTTAATTATTTATTAGAATTCTAAGCCATTTTAGATGGATTATTTCAAAGTTTTGCATAAATACTATTAAAAATGTATCATAATACAAAAATTTCAAAATTTTGTTACTGTTCAATTCAACTATTAACAACTTAAATTGCTTTTATAAGAGCACAATCTGTGTTTCTTGAAACCACTGAGTTTCTGGTTTAAAAATATCTATAACCATAAGCACTTGTTTTTTAATTGTATGAATACATTTCCTTTGTTGTTGTTGTTTTAAGTTGTAGATGGACCCAGTATTTTTATCTTTTATATGGTGCTGAGGATCAAACCCAGTGCCTCATYTGTGCAAGGCAAGTGCTCTACCACAGAGCCCCAGCCCCAGCCCCACATTTCCTTTTTAAACTATTTATCTGCCTTAAGTATTTTCAATAATGCTTGCAATAGTGGTCTCTGATTCTTTTGAAATCTTGACTTTATTTGATCCTGAAAACTCTGGACACCTCTCCTGAGAAAAATTGTACATACATGTGAAGTTTAACGCCTGGTGTGGTGGTGCACACCTGTAATGCCAGTGACTTGGGAGACCAAGGCAGAAGAATCTTGGGTTCTAGGCCAGCCTCAGAAATTCAGTGAGTCCCTAAGTAGCTTAAGTCCTGTCTCAAGGAATAAAAAGGGCTGGGTATGTAGTTCAGTGGTAGAGAGCCCCTGGGTTCAATCCACAGTACAAAAGAAAAAAAGCTTAGTTAGTGCCTTAATTCTGAAGCCCATTTGTGGACCATATTTCTAGTATCTTTTGGTTTATCAAACAAGCATATTGGTAGAAATAACTTTATTTCARTGTAAGGCAATGCACATATGAAATTAGAAGGGAAAACTTAGTAACTTTTTACTTAGACACAATGAATTTATAGAGCTATAAAATATGACTTAAAAATATAATGTAAGTATTTTCAGATACTCTCAAAACAGGAATCAATTTTAGGTCTTAATTTTTTTAACGAGGTTATTTTCCATAATAGTGAATTGATAATTGCTTAYTTTTTTCCAGAACATCTTCCTAAACTCCAGCCCAGACCGTATTCATGTGCAAGGTATTAATATTTGTTAACATATAGCATCTTTCCCCCCAAATTTATGAAACTCAGACTTCCAATCCTTGGTGACTGCTAATTTATTCAGTGGAGACTTAACCTTCTTGTGGAAGATGAGCCAGGCGTGGTGAGGCATGAAGAGGAGGAGCTGTAGGACTCCAGGCCTCCAGGAGCCCACGTTCCTGTCATCTGCTGATGTTTCCTCCCTCAGGGCAGTAGGCCCCTGGGTGACAGCGGAGGGCAGGGAAGAGAGTCCACCTGCAGGACATGTGTGATGAGCAAGGCACAGAGGACTGACCACCTCCCTGCTCCACAGTGACAGCACAAGAATAGATTATTTAGCATTTAACAGAACATGACGAGAAATATTTTTTGTTTTTGGAAATATATTTTAAAGATTTTTCTCTTTGAATTTTTAGTTTTCTGGGTGTATAGATTTTAGTTACTTTCAAATTTTATCAATATTAATAATATATGGGATGTTCCTCAGGATTTATCTGTGTTTATATGGTAAAAGGTCTTTATAGAGACTGCAGAAATTAATCTTTTACATGAAAACCCTTAAGGCATCTCATTTTTATAAATCTTATCTCGTATTGAAGACAAGCAAATAAAACTAGAAACTTTGCTGAATGATATTGCAGAATGGGTGGCAGGATAGAGGGTCAAGGAAGAAGCACTGTTCTTCCCTGAGGAGTTGAGGTTGCTCAGAGCCCCTGAGGAACTGTCCCCCACTGCAGTAAAAATCAGGATGAACTTGGCCCACATGTATCAGTCCTCATGCGGAAGTCAGTTACTCTGTGTCTTTGCAGCTCAGGCTTATTTCACCCTGGAAGGCTTCATTTTATTTTTAACATTGTGGAGTTCGCCTCTAACGCTACAGCGGTGGTTTTGCGGAAGGGCGTGTGCACAGGCTGGCTGGCCAAGCTGGTTGCCTCGATTCTTCAGCCAAACACTCAGGCATCACCTGCAGATGGCAGAGAAGCCCTGGCTCCTAAGGTACTAAATAAAGTGAATTTTAGCTTTGCTAAAGTTGTCTTTGCTATATATGAACAAATATTGATACCTTGCACACACAGACATCCTTCTGTACTGTCCATTGCCCTTACATCACTGCTAAGAAAGTGGGTGCTGTGCTTGAGTTTTAAAATGTGTGTTGGGAGGCAGAATAGCACTGTTCACTTCCACTCACTCTTAGTGAGTCCATGTTTCCTCAACATAGAAAGCATTAGCTTTCTTCAGTCTGTCCTTCCTTGTCTGTCCTCGTTGTGGAGAGACCTGTGTGCATACCCTGGCAGGGAGCGTAGGGAGGGTGGGGAAGGACAGCWGCACTTGACGTCATGCAGAGCCTGCATCCTGTGCCGAGGAGTAGCTGGGTATTCTCTGCCTTGTAGCATTAGGATTTCCCCTGTCCCCGTTTCTCCCCTTTTGTCATTGTGGTGTGTGGGATTTGAATCTCTGCCATTATTGGGGAAAAGTTATGGTGGGAAAGCACTTTTAAAACACCTAGGAGGAAAGGATTGATATAGTGTTATGGACATATTATGAACACATTTATGCTGGGACTTRGTGACATCTGAGAGACAGCACTCGGCGTCATCTCATTTGGAACCACACACACACAGAACAATTTAAAGTCTTCCGCTTTGCTCAAAGGATGGCTGAAGTAACACTGCAGGCTTCCTCATGAAGCCTTCGGTCTTCATGATAATGCAGAAATCAGTGTGTCGTGTGTGGTGTGTGACAGGTGTGCTTTCTTGAATTTCCTGGGGTGGGGACGTTTGGAGACCTTAGGGCATATGCTCAGGAGGGCTGAGGGAAGACTGCCCTGGCATCTGCCCCTTCACTGGGTGTTTCCCATCCGCTGCCCGGAACAGAACTGCTTCACAGTCTTCATTAATCATGACGGACTCATCATTCCTCAACAAACAGTAGGAAACTCAAACTGTCTCTTGTGAAAACAAGTGCTAGTACTAACATAAAAATGCCACTTCATGATTGTGTAAAAATGGCAGATGGTCTCCAGAAAGTTAACAGTCCATAGCTCAGGACAAGCGGTGTAAGCTCGGGGCCTGTTGGAGGAGTTTCTCCCACCCGCCTCTCCCTCCTCCTTTGTCTGTTTAACAGAATTTATAGCCTGCTCAGCATGCCAATGTGCCCGCACGGTAGGCACAGAGGGAAAGGATACAGTTTCATCATGCTTAGTAACACGACTGTTTAATTAGAGTGTASGAAATGTTGGCCTTTGACCCAAGACACATTCCCCCTCCGTGGCAGATTATACCGTTATTTACAGAATTATCCCCTTCCCACAGTTCTGTCATAGGGAGGAGGGGACCCTCTCCCACTCCCCTGTGAACAAAGAGGGCATGTGAGATGATTCCRGATGTCATGGTGTTGCTTGCCTCTCTTTGTCTTTTCTGCTGTAGGTAGACGTGACCAGGCAGGGATGCCATTCTGGGTGGGTCTCTAGTGCTTGCCATATTGCCATGTTGAATCCCTGCGGTAGAATTGTTAAATAAGTGAATTAGGCTAATGGAATTGCAGATTCGGTTTCATAAGAACTGAATAATAAGAACAGTAATTAGACATAGCTCTGCTAGCCTTCCACTGAGAAGGCGTGTGTTCAGGCTCCTCAAGAGCTTCCTGTGGTCTTTGCATGGCAAATTGGAACAACACTACTGCCACCACGTTGGGTGTCCTGGAACCTCAGTGTTAATTCAGTGTGCCTTTTGCATGACAGGGGAACCTCTTTGCAGACTAATTCCTTCCAAAGTGTCTGGCACAAGATTTGAAGGAAAATCTTCAAAATTAAAAAAAAAAAAAAAAAAAAAAAAAGGATTTTGTTTACTGCATCACTTGTGTTGGTAGTTTTACAAAATCATAACTCTGGGTAATATTGGATGTGGAACTCCACAACAGTAGTTCTGAATGGTCTTTGAAGGGTCCTTAGTGTGTGTTTTTGGTTCCTTGTTTTTAGTATAGCTTATGACTACATCTTGTTGTCATCGTTAGTGGCCTTTCATGTGCAGGCATGAAGAATCGTGTCCTCAGAGTTTGGGTGCATAATACATATGTACCAAGTTTTCTGCTTAATACATATGATTTATTACCTACTAAAAAGCAGATCTGATTAATCCCTGGGCCTTGAAAAATAGTTGTATCATTCTRAAAAATATCATGTCATTTAAAAAACTTTTCAATATGAATAGAGAAGAAATTTGCAAGACAAGTGTTTATTTCTCTATAGTGACAAATGTGTTYGTGGTTCCAATAAGCTTTAATTTTGCTATTAATGGTGCTTTATAAGGGGGGGATTTGCACTTTCTGATTTCCTTAGCAGAGATCGCCTTGGTTACACGTTCTTGCTGGGTTTTCTTTCAAACTCACCACWGTTGGTTTAACATTCCAGATATCCATCTCTCCTCGAGCAACAAACTCCTTCCATTTGCCGGCAGACCCCTCCACYCCCATCATCATGGTGGGCCCCGGAACCGGCGTCGCCCCCTTTATTGGGTTCCTGCAGCATAGGTATGTGCTTGTTTTGCTGGTGGAGAAATGTACCCCTTGAGATTCAGGGCAGAAATATAACAGTCTCTTTTATTTCATCAGTAGTTTTTAGAATAATCAAACTTTGGTTGTAAATTTTTTCTTTTAAAAATCGTTATCAGATGTGTGACAGCATAAGCATTTGTCACCATGAAAAAAGTAAACACAGTGTGTTTCACAGAGTTTGCTTCAGATTGGGGCTTCCTGCTTTGCTGTGACACTTTGGTTATGTTTCAGCTGCACTGTAGTATACAGCACATGTACTTGGGGCTGAATTTCAGGCACACTTTCATACTGTGGTGTGGTTCAGGCTTTCCTCCTGTTTCTGGATGAAATTGGCAGTTAACAGATTTAGTTAGACGTCAGGCACCAGCACATTTCAACAGAGTGATATTAACTCAGAATGGAACTGCTGCCTGTAAAGCAGGCACGCTGCTCTCCATGCCGTGAGTTGGTGCGGGCTCTCCCGTGTGCTCCCTTCACGTGGAGAAGTGTCCTTTGCGTGGCCATTGTGATGCTACAGTTGTTCCCTTGAGACTGCAGGAGTGCAGTGGGAGGTGCACTTGGGCTCACTGCTGTGTCTTCTCCTAACTGGCTTTTATGCATTCTACCTCTTATGCCCTGTGCGACTTTTCCAACCAGTAAGAATTATCTCAGACATTAAATTTGCTACAAATGTTATTTAAGGTAGAAATTATTGTCATGGCACAGGGTCCTCTTTGAATTACCCTGTTGTTGTAGTCACATGCGATTCAGGGATGTCCACCGAGACATGCTTCTGTGTTGTAGTGTCTGCTGGATGGACCCTGGCAGCCGGTTCAGTGGCAGTGAAACKTGCCAGGCAGTTCTCAGCACACTGTGATGAAATGTGAGATAACCAACTTGGACCACAGCTGTGGAGGGTCATGATGGTTGGCCCTGTGTATGTCATGGCACACGTGTGGTGAAACARAACTGCCCACCTCCTGCCAGGAAGCAGAAGAGGAAGAAGGAGGGATGAGTCCTGTGGTCCCCTTTAGAGGCACACCCCAATGACTGAAAGACCTTCCCCTCTGAAAGTTCTGCCACCTCCCATTGTGTCACCCCAGGGATCAAGCCTCTAGCACATGGTCTTTGGTGGACACTTGAGATCCAAACCAGGACAGGGATATGGCTCAGTGGTGGAGCATTGGCCTAGCATGTGCACAGACCTGGGCTGGATCTCCAGCGTGACAAAAYAGTGGAGATCTCAACCGTAGTCAGTGTTGACCGAATGGGTGACCTTTGAATGACTGCATAGGTGCACTCTGTGCACTTGAGTTTGCTGGTGGTCTTTTCTGATGGAGATTTGTTCTAAATGTTTTTAATATTACACATCTCAACTTTCTTTTTCTCTTAGAGCGAAACTACAAGAACAGGACCCAGAGGGAAATTTTGGAGCAATGTGGTTGTTTTTTGGCTGCAGACACAAGGACAGGGACTATTTGTTCAGGTACTGTGCATTTCCTCTGTTGTGACATGCAGCCACTGAGTGCACGCTTCTAATATTCAGCCTTCATCCACCTTGTAACTCTACCCTCCAGTGATCCGTGATGTGTTGTATTTCAGAGACGAGCTCAGGCATTTCCTGCAGCGTGGGGTTCTGACGCATCTGAAGGTCTCCTTCTCAAGAGATGCTGCCCTGCAGGAGGAGGAAGCCCCAGTCAAGTACGTGCAGGACAGCCTCCAGCTTCATGGCCCGCAGGTGGCCAGGATCCTGCTGCACGAGAAGGGCTGCCTGTACGTGTGCGGGTACGTGTCCAGTGTGCTTGAGTGCTAGACGGGAAGGAGCAGGGGATGCAGAGGCCGCCATCCAGGTGGAGGGCCGAGCTGTCTGGTTCTTGAGCACAGGAGTAGGTCAGCACACGTTCCACAGCCAAGAGGTAGTCAGAACCAGGAGGTGACGGGGAAGGTGCATGCGCGCTCTCAGTCAAGACACCTGTGAGGCTCTGAAAGTTCAGTTCACATGAAGACATTGTTTCTCCAGATTGACTTTGTGGGGAATGAGTTTGTGGTTTTATCATTGGGCTAAATGGGAGAAAGTGTTATTTTCACTGAGAGAATGTGGTTTTACATATTAGGATCCTTTTTTTCCAAGGCATACTTTGTGGTGTTAACGTTGACATAAGCTGGGAATYGTTCAACAAATTCCTGCTGATTAAAAAGTAGTTTTGAGATCACAAATTCACTCTCATCCTAACATACATATGTTTAGCATTTAACACGTTCTCTAAGTGACTGAGTCAGACTGGTTTTTTTTTAATTAATATACAAGATGAGGTACTGTCAAAATGACCCAAAATTCATATAATTTAAACAGGTTTGATGAAATAACAGTTTTCTACTTATCTTTTGAGACATATCTCATGATTTTTCTTCCATTTTTTAATATTTACTGTTTAAGAAAAAAGTACAGCTGCTTTGGCTTCCATGGCTTTGATCCCATGACCTGTGAGTAGATTGTGACTCAGTTGGACAGCACTGCAGGAGCCCTGCACATTGTGCTGGTTTACGTTTTCAGTGAATTTCAGCGAGGGTCTTGGTTTTCGTCCTCTTCACAGAGGATGGGCCCATCGGTGTTCGGAGACACGTGTAGATAGTGCAACCTGAGTCAACTGTCCAGAGTTCAGAGAACTACAGCTGAGAACTTGGAGAAGAGCACAGGTGTCCAATCTCCTAAAATGTGTCCTGCGAGCAGCTCTTCTGGTCACTGGTGCTTTGTCACCCCYGTCGGGGAGACACAAGGCATTAACAGCAGTGTCCAGAGACAAGGGCTCACAATGAATCTCCTCGGCTTCCAACAGTGACGAGCAGATGGGGCGGAGCAAGGGACACTGAGCAGGGAGCAGGGGATCCTCCCAGGGAGGAGGCTCGTGAGGTCATGGGTGAGAGAGAGTTGGCAGGGCAGCTGCAGAGCTGGCAGCAAGAGGTGAGCGAGGGCAGAGCCCTGGGGAGGCAGCTCTGGGGAGCAGTTGACAAGAGAGCGTGATAAGAAGGGCGAGCTGGCTCCTTAGAGACTCCTTGAGGAGTTCTGCTGTTGGCCAGGGCGGGCTCCATTCCAGTCACGTAGGCATGCCAGAGTCCTGGCCGTGTGTCCTTCCTCTGGCCGACATAGGAGACGTAGGAGTGCCTGTGGGGCTTGGCCACACTGAAGAACAGACATGGGGAGGGCGGGAGGCTTCCTGCCCTCAGAGCCTGTCCTCCTGGGAAAGCCAGGGAAGCTTTCTGCAGGGCACAGAGGAGTGCTCAGGAGGCCTCCCCCGTCTCCGTAGCACCAGYGTGAGCAACTTGAAGCGCTCAGGGAGGGCCTCGGTGACCGCGGCTGGCTCCCTTCAAGACCACAGGCTGCTGTGCGCCTGGCTGAGGCGAGCCGCAGGCTGGAGCCCATGCCGCCGCTGCAGGGAAGCCTGTGGTGGCTGTTAAGCCGTGGAACCATGTGGTCTGCRCTGTGGTGTGGAATGGTGGCCGCCCGGGAAGGCCTGGTGTGGGGTGGGCAGGCGGGAAGACCTGGGAAATGGGGGAGAGAATGAGGGGGGACCAAGAGGCTGCAGCAGGGGGCCGACTGGGCGTGAAGTGGGGAGCGCGTGACGGCTCTGCTGACAAAGGGTGCTGTTACCTTCTTTTCTAGAGATGCTAAGAATATGGCCAAGGATGTGAATGATGCCCTTGTGGAAATARTAAGCAAAGAAGCTGGAGTTGACAAACTAGAAGCAATGAAAACCTTGGCAACTTTAAAAGAAGAAAAACGGTATCTTCAGGACATTTGGTCATAAAGTGGAGATTAAAGGAGGAAAATGAAGCATTTTTCGCTGAAAATACTAAACAGCTATTTTACTGAAAGTGAGATTTTAAATTTTTAAATAATTTTTGAGACTATTTCTTGGAGGAGGTGGAGTAGAGAGGGATCACTTGGAATGGCGAGAGAAGCTGATGTGGTCTTACCCATCTCCCACCCACTCTCCTCCTGTGTCTGACCCTCACCAAAGTGCCCACAGCTGAGGGGCAGCCCTTATTTGTTCACCAGTGCCTCTGCATCTGGAGACCTCGCGCCTTCAGGGGGCTCCAGGTCTGTGTGCGAGGGCTTCCGGGTGCTGCATCTGGCAGTAGGATTCACTGCACAACTCTGTGAACTTACCTCGCCAATATTTTATTAAGTAATGGAAAAGTAATTTATTGCTTTTATATGAAGTACAATCATAAAGGATATTTTATTCATATATTTAAATTACACATGTAGAGTATGTTTGTTGCATGTTTATGTAATTATCAAATGGTTGCTTATTACCAAAAYTATATTTCTCATAAAAATATTTTAAGGTGTTATTATTTATGGTGCTAGAAATATGAAATATATTTTGAAATTCTACTCTGGTCTCTGATGTTTTTTATCACAACTATTTTTAGTAYCACAGTTCCAGAATACAGGGACAAATTTTTCCAAATGTTTGGTTTTTCCTCCATGATATCACTTGAACTATTGCCTAGGCTTAAAATACTGACTTTGTTAGTAGCCTTGTATATTTTAGATTCTTTAGTTCAGATTCCTTCTTAAAATTTATCAAACAAACAAAAAGAGGGTATGATAAACTTTTTTTCTGGGCTTTAGTATTTATTATCTTTATTTAATAGCTTAGCATATGCAATATAATAGAAACCAATCTAAAAAACAAGGGGTTGGAAAACATACCAAGCAAATACTGTGCTGTGCACACGATTATATGTGTAGGTTGTATACGTCAGCCAAGATGAGACTTGAGGCAAAACATTCAAAGGGACAAAGGGCAGTGCTCCTTACTAATAGCTGCTGGAAGATACAACTGTCAGATATATCTGCCTGAGGATATCGTCTGTAAATCTGTGACCCAAAACCTATCCAGAAGGAGAGCCTGACAAATGGTCAGTCATGGTTGCTGCTGGAAATCAACACAGGCCAATTCTTTATGCAGACGGTTCAGGCTGTTTGTCATCCTGTTGGATGACAAGTTTAGGTGCTATTGATCAGCTGCTCCTCATGGCCTTACCAGCTGGAAAGCAGATTTCAATTGAAATGCTGCCATACAGAAGGATATTTATTGAACAAAGATACATGAGCAATCAGGCATCAGGCAGACCAACAACCCATTGTATAAGCTTGAAGAAACTCCAGCTATCTCTTCAGGTGATCCTGCCACACTTACTCAAGACTGCTATTTTTGGGATGAGGTTTTATTCCTTTTATCACCATGAGCCATCCTCTAACCCAGTAGCTGAACAGAGCTATTTTAGAGGTGGAGTTCAGACAACATTCCCTGGGTCTTGCTAGGTAGTTTTTGACCTTGTTTGTGTAAGGGTGGGGAGTACTCTATTATATCCAATTTCTATACCTTAGATTTCACCGGTGTTAAGAATGAGGCCATGTTCGAATGCCTTATTGTAACAAGTCACGATTGTTCCCATTATTTTCAGTAACATTTATCACACTGATCAGTGATTGTGTAATCAGAGGAGCTTATTGTGGTCGATTCTACAATATGGCTGTCCTGATGAGTGTTCTCACTGCAATAGAGGATGCCCGTCGATGGCACAGACCTGTAGCATGTGTGAAATATACTGAACTACCAGATCCTTAGAGAAGTTGAGTTTTACCATGAGGAAACTAAATACTAGCTGCATCCCACAAACTGGGCACCCAGTTTGTATGTTGAAGACTTGAAACATTTTTAAAAGTTGACCATGAATTGGGCCATGAAGGCAGACCTAAATTGCATAAACTAAAACATCGTTTACTGACTCTCTGAATCAAGGAAGAATTTTAAATACGTACAAAGGCTTGATGATTTGAAGTAGTAAATATACACATAGATGCAGGCAGAGCAATATCGGGGCGGGGGGGATTGCACTGCGCAAGGATTTGGGCCTGTTCTGCCAGGTACTGCTCAGTGCTGTGGGTACTGTCATGACTGCAGCAGATGACGCACCTGTTCTCAGGGAGCTTATGTTCTTAGGTGGAGGAGAGGGGTGAAATAATGACTAGGTGCATATCACATGGTGTCTGAGAAGGTAGTTAATGCTGTGGAGAAAGATCAGGGGTTTAGGGTGTGTGTGATAGTGTTGAGGATAAGTTTCAGAAGGTTTTCTGGACCAAAGAGCTAGCTTTTTTCTTTTTTAATTGGTTCTTAGTTACACATGGTAATAGGTAATAGTATGTTATGACATAATTATTAAGGGATGGAATATAATTTGTTCTGATTCAGTCCTCACTATTTCTCCTYCCTTCCTCCCACTCCCTGTTCCCTTCCCTCTACTGATCTTTCTACTCTTTACTGGTAAGAGTTTTACTGTCCTCATGCAGGGGGAGAAGTCAGAACAAGCCCCGAGGTAGAACTCCCTGGAGAGTCAGAGGAACAGCGAGGAGGGCAGTGGGTGTAGACAGAGCCGCAGGTGGGAAGAGCAATAAGCCCCGTGTGTGGAAAGAAGCGGGAGGCCTGGTGGTGTCTGGCCTGGAGGCCGCCGTGGGAGCTTGGCTTTCACATGAGTGAGGAGAAGGCTGCTGGGTCCTAGAAGCAGCATGACCCCCTCATCTCATAAAGGGCCAGCTGTGGCTATCGCAGTGGAGACTAAGTGGAAGCAGCCCGGGGRACCACTTAGGAGATGAGATAGCTCGAAGGATTAGATCACCAAGGCCCATAGTTTGTAGTCTTCTGCCCCAAATAAATGGAGAAAAAAAACATGATGAAGTTCAATTTTTCATTMTTGATAAAAATACTTTGTAAACTAGGAACTTCTTTGATTTAGTACATGATACTGATAGATGTCTTATAGCTCCCCACATACCTAGTGCACACTTACTTACTCTTACTTAGGTTTGGAACAAAACAAGAATGTCTGCTATCATGGCTTCAGTCATTGGCACACAAGACATTGCCAGTGGGATATGATAAGAAAAGGAMATAATATGTATTAATAGAAGAGGAAAAGCATAATTGTCATTATTCATGTTATTATTTACATAATTGTAGAAAATAAAATCTGTAGGCAAACTGTTGCAAGATTGTTGTGKGCAAGGTCAATACACAAACTTGAATTTTATTTCTAGGTACTAGCAACAAATAATTAGAAAATAAAATACTATTTATAATAGCACTGTATTAGTCAAGGCTTTCCAGGGAATTGGAACCCAAAGGATGGATGATGGATGGATGGATGGGTAGGTAGGTAGGTGGATAGGTAGGTAGGTAGATAGATCAATGGTGTATTAGCCATCTTTTCGTTGCTGTGATGATATATCTGACAAGAACAACTTGGAGGGGGAAAGATTATTTTGGCTGATTGTTTCATGGTCATCTGGCTCCAAGGCAGAACAWAACAGCAGAAGGCTGTGGGAGAGCAACTCTACTCAGGTCCTATTAGCCAGGAAGGAGASAGAGAAGACAGAAGAGGCAAGGCTGGAGAGAAAGTCACCCTTCCAGGACAAGCCCCTAGTGACCTACTGTCTCCAACTACATCCCACCTCCAGTAGTCCATTCAGCACTTAATCCATTTCATAGATTAATCCACTAAAGATCATAGCCTAAAAGCCTCATCTCTAAACCTTACTGCATTGGGGACCATGCTTTCAACACATGAGATTTGGGGGGACATTTCAGATCCAAACCATAACAGATACATAGAGATTTACCAAGGGGCTGCTCATACAGTTTTACCCAGGCTGAGGTGTCCTGCAATCTGCCATTTGTAAGCAGAAGGCCCAGGAAAGCCCATCAGGTTGTTTCAGTTTTAGTCAAAGTCCAGGAAGCAAGGAGCGGTGCCAACATCTCAGTATCCAAAGGACAGAGGCTCGAGCAGAGAGGAAATTTGCCCTTCCTCAGCCTTTTCGTTCTATTGGGCTCTGTAGGATTGGAAGGTGTCCCCCGTGTCGTCCCCCCGCCCCCCACCGTGATCACACTGGTGAGGGTGATCTTTGCTCAGTCCACAAGTTCAAATGCTAATCTCTTCCAGAAGCACCCTCACATACTCATCTAGAAATAATGTTTTACCACTTTC